ATTGAGTCTTAACACTTTTTAAACGAAAATAATTCTAGTAATTTCGATAACTACTATGGTATTAATTAAAATGGATTCTATCCATAAACTGGTCATAATAAGTCAAAACTCGTAAAAATATAGGTCACTATATTCCTTCTTTCTGTGCCACACGATTGAATAAAAAATGCATGTCATAAAAATATAACTTATATTATTTTGTTGCAAATAGTATAAAAAGGTCTAAAACCTTTTTTAAACCACAAAAGTTCTAATAAGAGTTCTCATGTTAAGTCTTGAGACTGCTACAGTATTCTAATTGCCCGTAGGTCATTACACTTGACCGCTTTACTGAGACGCTAAGAAAAATGTATAATTTGAGATAATGACTGGGGTTCCTGTGTAAAGAGGTTTGAAGGGAAAAGAGCGCTGTAAATAAAAAAAAATTGCTGAGTCTGGATTAAATTGTATGAAAATTAGCCTAATATAAAAAGGGGTCTCAAGTCTGGGTGTTAGTTTTAGCCGTAAGTGTATTGCAAATAAAAAGTAGAAAAGCGTAAGTTTATACTTCATTCGTAATAATTTTTAATCTAAGAATTTTCATCTTGTTCATACATTCATCATCGGCTTATTATACCTCCCCACTGAGGGGGGTTCGGAGCCTACCCTAGGTTAGGGGTGACTAGGCCATAGTCAACCACGCCGGCCCAGTGCGGGTTGGTTGACTTCACACATATCTTTGAATTTCTTCTCAGATATGTGCAGATTCCATCACGTTGTTTTTCTTCACAGTAAGATCGTGGGACAAATATACATATGTAAATCTAAAATCGAAAAAACATTGGTACATGGCAGGGTTCGAACCTAGGACCTGCAGATTACAAGTCAAGTGCTTAAACCCCTGAGCCACCGACGCTATCTCTTGTTATAAATTTCCTAATATGCAATCAAAACCAAGCTACTAGGTTACGACGACGTCTTATTGTGTTAGATTTTAGGTGTAAACTAATTATCTAATTAATCTCATTATAATAAACATTACGTACTAAGTTAATAAATTTAATTGAAAACTCATACAATTTCCCGCTCGTGGAAATCGCTTCCTTTGTTCTGATAAAGTACGTTCAGACGAATGCGACACAATGTTGTAAAACATAAAACATAAAGGATTGTCGTATTCGTATTGATCAAAACCTCAATATGAATGTATTGCGGGCTCGCAGAAATAAGTCAACGGGTCGACATCTATACTGACATTTAATATTCATGTTGCCAGTTGTAAAAAGTTGTGAAACTTTTAAATTTATATTTAAAACACAGAGACAGCATAAGTTGTTGACGCGGTTTTTAATAGATTTATCTTTTATTTCCAAACTGTTTTTGGTATTTCATATTTGCGATAAGAAAATCAACTTTAAATTCTCAAATAATAACATACAGTGCTTCTGAGAAAAAAATGAAAGTCGAAGGTTTGTTTTGGGTAAATAACTAAGGGTCAAATAGATCTGAACGCTATAATCCTGTAAGATTGGTCTCGCGGAGGGACCGCGGTTGTGAATGAAGCTTAAGGATTTATTCGAAAAAGGGTTAGAGAGGCCATTTCACGCGTGCTTGCATTCGCAATTTCATATCTTTAAACTCGTTACATAAAGACTTTACGTTATAGGGAAGAAACAATTAATTTTAACGTCAAATAACGTAACGAAACACTTACATTGCGGTACCTTAGGAAATTGTATGACAGTCTGACATTCGTGTTTGGTATTAGGATATTAGAGAGAATATCTTATTCTAATTATGAAATGAAGTAAAAAATGACCACTTAATAAGGCCTCAAATAACGTTATATAATTAATAATATAGCAATAAAATTCTAAACTAACTTAAGTACAACTTAAATCATAATAAAATGTTGATAATCCTAATTTCACTTACAATAAAACCATTTTTTACATTCAAGTGTTAGCGCCTTTACTTGATTACAAAAACAACGAAGCAGATTTTTATGTCGAGCGTTTAATAAAACAACAATGTCGTAAACGTATGCTTGTAAAAAGCAATGTTCATTGCCACCCCTACAACGGACAGACGGGATCCTTTTAAAATACCACCTTCACAAAAGCACCCTCGAGCAAACAAATCACAGCCATAATTATTACGCGGTGGAATTATTTAGATGCAAAATGTGTGCAAAAGTTTAATAACAAGCCACATGTTCACCTTTATTTAATGGCTTGTATTTATGTTAAACACAAAAAACTAACACGGAAATTAATTGTAAAATTACATTAAATTCTCGTGCCACAATGTGCACCATACACCTGTAAAACGGCTTGACTGATTTTCATGAAATTGTATATACATATTCAGTACGTCTGTCAATTGGATAGTGTCTATGTTTTAATCCTATGCGAACGGAGTCGCGGGCGACAGCTAGAAACAGATAATGACAAATCTCCTAACAGGCATGTTACATACGAGTACACGTTTTAAAAATATTTTCTATTCTTAATTCTATTCTTCTAAGATTAGATCAAGAAATGATGTTAACTCTTGTTCTATTATCGGATACTGGACTGAGATCTTCACTCCCAATATTATTAGAGCAAATAAATAATTCAGTTGGGTTAAGGCTTCTACAATATTAGAAACGGAACGAATTATTTGTCCATATCTATATTTATTCCTTTATTCACGAAGGAAAAAAACAGTTAAAATGAAGTTAAAATAGTACAAACTACAGTTGTTATTTAAAGTCATTGCAATGTCATTTCACAGTGGGTTTTTATTACCGTTTACGGAGTCAATTAATTTTCTCGACATAGGCTTCAATAGAGAAATGAGCGGCGAATGCTTGAAAGGAAACAATTCCTTTCGTCACCGCAATGCATCCCGGGTATATTGCTAGTCCTTTGATTGTGTCATTTGCTTTTACAACGTAATTATGGTTGCAAATGACAACTTTATCGTAGCAAATATAAGCATATTGTTAGCATAAAGAAAATAACGTATTGGAGATAGCTTTTTATTTTTACACATATAAAAAATAAACAGACAACCGAGCGAGCGCTCTCGCTTTAATTCTTAAAACGCGCCTGTTTTTTACTATCTGCAATTTTGAATACCTACCAAACTAACAATGTTTTAATTATATTTGCTCGCACGTTTGACCACTTATAAATAGTTGAAATGAATATCAAAACTATGGGCTAACAAACTGTTTCACTTCACGCCTGTCTTCTGTGTGGTGTTCTGTTCATACTTTATCAAACATCTTGTACATTTTGTTTTAGAACCAAGCAGGTAGGTGTTTTAAGCTTAGCTAGGGATGTCCACAGGAACGGAGTACATAAAGAACCGACTTCATAATTGATTTGAAGTTAAAACAAAGGCGTCTTAGGGCTGCAGGGTCCTTGGCTGGCAATTAATGCACAGCGCACGTCCTCAGACACCCTCCGACAGACTGCACCAAAACGCTCGACTTGACAGAAGCACGCGCCACTCTTATTGGACCTCGTAAATTGCTTACGTGGCTAAAAACGTAAAGGCATTTTATATTAACTAGTCAAATATAATAGTCGAGTGTTTAAAGACTTGGCAATAAATAAGGTAGCTCACTAGCTAGGTAGTACTAATGCTTACAATTATTCTCATCAAATACGTGCCGGCCCTGAATCATGATCACCAAAGGCTTAATTCTTTTGATTTCTCTTACTAATTGACACGTTTTCTTGATAAGTTTTCTGTTTGGTCTCAAGCCATAATGTTCAAAAAAAACTTTTTTTAACGTTGTACTTTGCTGATTGTGTCATAAATCGGTAGTTATTTCACTGTTTATTGTGAAAGATGACATAAATTCTTAGTTTGACTGGTTGATGAATGTTTTAAACGCTTAGAACGTGAAAACCTGTAGAAAATAACTTCAGCCACCAGCTAAATTGAGGAAAAATGTGATTTTAAGGAAAAATCTCGTTACCTCATTCTGCGTGATAATGTTTCGATTTCAGGTAAATGTTACCCGAGTTAGATTGATGGATGTTTGTTATGACGTATCTTTTAAACGTCGATTAAATTTGAGACAGTACATCTGTCCCAAATACACATAGTCTGAAAGAACGCATAGGCTACTTATTCGTTTTTTGTATTTCACCCGGACGAAATCGCAGGTAAAAACTAGATATCAAATATTTTAAAATGGCTTTTACAATAAAGTGAAACAAAGTCTTGAATCTATTTTTAAATTAAGTGAAAAGGCTGAATAAATGAGAGTAATTTCGGCGGCTTGTCAAAATCAGAGCGTTATGGTCCCTTGAATTCTTTCAACAAAATCACTGTGACAGCGCGCTGTTGTTATGCAGTGAGCATTTATTTTATTCTATTTTGTATTTATAACAAGATTATTGACATATTCGTATTCTCTAAGATTGTTAAAAAGATTTATTTGCGTTGGTCACTATTTTAATGCTCTTTTTATGGAGCAAGATATACATTTAATTTATATTAATACATGCTTTATGTATCGATAATAATTTAGAAAACTAACAGTCTCTCTGTTTTAAGCCTTTGTGCATAACCAAGTTTCTCTGAAACGCAGCTACAGCTTGCACTGTTGAGCACTTCACCATTCCATTCCAAAGTAACTTAATAGCTTAACCACGACTTAATAATATTTATTAACAGAATTTGTCTTATGTAGAATAGCAAATATTAATAGTATTACAATAAATTGGTAACGCGGTATTTTACGCTATATAATATAGTTATTTATGTGTATGATTTCTATATTTATATATAATAGTTTAGTTTATTGAAAATTCAAAGTGTTGCCGAATGTACTAATAAAATAATAATTTGCTTTCTGATTGATTATTTATGAGATAGGACAATTTTTGCAATTTAAAAGAAGGATGATTGGGATGATATTTAAAACAATTTTGTCATAACAGCTTACTTTTCTTCTGCGTAAAACAGAACGTATGGTTAATTTTCATCTATACGCAGTCGCAGCAGCCCTAATTTTTGACAATTCGCAGCTGGCTGTATATATGCCGTAAAACCAAGAATTCCTTTATGGATTTTGTGTCGTAGTAGAATTATTAAACGGTATAAACAGTTATTACACAAAGAAACATAAATAAACTCTAGTTCGGTTAAACATTTAGTGACAAAAAGTGCATTTTACAACATGATCAAGGTAAATACCATTTTCTAGATACATGCGACGTCTAGATTGTACAACAAACCTTTTTCATTGATTTAATCGATTAATTTTTTAACAACCTCAAAAATATTTTAGCACTCGTGTTTTGTTGGTAACTTTTTCCTATTTAAATATTAAGGGACCGCTGATTCTGTTAACAGAAACGACATTTATTTTAGTACCTACTTCATTTTTTTGTAGGGAGTTGTAACCCTTAAATAATGTGTCTGAAAATTTTATCTAGAAATGTCGAAGTTGTCCCATTTGGATTACACCAAACATTCATTCAATATTTTAGTGTTTCCATTGTTTAAATATTTTATTGCTCTTATTCATACATGACACTTTTATTACGATTTAATTTGAACAACAAATCTTACGTCGCATTTGACCCTTGTGTACTTTGTATCCAATAAGAAAATGGCTGATTTGAAATAGTCACTTAAAATTACTCTTTTAAGTAAAGATTTTGGAAAATATATGCTTTATTGATAAAAATAATTACTTGATTTTCTGACTGAAGGCTAAGTAGAAATTATTGTCAAAGCAATATATAACTATCTTTGTATAAGCCGCTCACACCATTGTCGGCACATCCCCATTTGGTAAGGTTCATTTAGATAAACCAATGCTCAATATGTTTTTATTACTTTATAATTTTACTGATAATAACAGGGAACAAAACATCTAACTATTTTATTCCACAGAAGTAATGGATCCAATTGATAATGATTGGCTTGGATATAAAAATGATCAAATAGAGGAGGCACCAAACATTGGCAATGTAGCCCGCAGTTGGCAATGGAGGGAACAAGGCATAGAACCATTCAACTATCCCAGCAATAAAACAGTGCTTGAAAATGCTGCAGAAGATATTCTTGTTCAAAAACCTCTCAAGATTCGGGTAAGCTATTTTATATTTGTGTACTTCCAACTGGTGTTTAATATAATATGTCAACATAAAGAAAAATACCAAGGATAAGATAAATGCCCGTTTTAGAGCCCCTTTCCAATAAGCAAAGAACTTTGAAACTCAACCGCATACTACTGCTTTGTCTATTAGGCGTGGCTACACCATAGAAGTGATACATAAATTGTTAATAAAAATAGTTATGTAAGGTCAGGGTCTATTCTTGGTTTCTATTCAAAGCCAAAGTCTAGTAATCACAGTAACAACAAATTGTATACATGGTGCCCGTTATGATATTTGACTTGATAATATGGATTAATTTTGTGGTTATTTGGTGTTCACCAATATTAACTAATATGAATTTGGTGTTTACTTAATTGCATTACTTGAAATATAATTTTGCATTGTAACATTATTGTTTGAAACTGTTGTTATCTATGTTATATAACCGAACACCCACAATCCAAACATAATGAATATAGTACTACAAGAGTATTTAGTGAGGAAAATACATTTTTTTACAGCGCTGTGAGCTGCCAGGTTACCCAAGATCCACCTTTCTTATGGTATTTAGTCCTGATGGGTAAGTAACATATTCATGTTATATGCTATACTAATATTATTAAGAGGAAAGAATTGTTTGTTTCTTTGCATTGAATATGCTTCTAAAGTACTGAACTGGTTTGAAAAATTCTTTCACTGCTGAGAAGCTAGACTCTCCGGATGAAATAGGTTATATATCTTATTTTCGCAAGACCATGTCTCTTATAAGTTGGAAATCTACTACACCTGTTGATTGCCATGTTCTTAGTTTTTATAGAATGATTTCATGAGTTGGTTATGTAATGTTAAAAATATATAATACAATGTAAGACTACATAGCTTAGTTTCATATTATATAATGTGTGCCTAACTCATTGGTTACTTATACTACATATAGATAACTTATGCTACAGATATTAATAGAATCAGACAAGTTCTTATCCAGTTGGTGATAAAATTGTTGAGACATACAGTTGTATATAATCAACAAGTTTTATGTCAGTTATAGACATCTTTCTTGTGTCACCAAATATTATGTGACATATCTTCTCCATAACTCGTGGGTGTTTTATATATGTAATTTACTCCACACATTACTATTTTATTTGTTTCTTTTTAGAACGAAAGTTGCATCTACTCATGGGAACCATAATATTTATGTGTCTGAGTTGGCAAGTGGCAAACATGTGCGCATACTTAAAGGTCACCCACGTACACCATGGTGTATTGCATTTCATCCGTCACATCCCCAACTGATTGGCAGTGGGTGTCTCGGAGGTCAAGTACGAGTTTGGGATATCTCTAGTGTAAGTACCAACATACTTAATAAATTATTTTTCTATAGTATTTAATTTTATAAATTAATAAAATTTTATGATTTTATATTTTATTATGTTATTTAATTATAAATATTCAATTAATTTGTTTCCTATCAAGTTTTTGGTTTTGTGCTATATTTAATATTTGTAATTTGTGGTGTTTGTGGTTTTTGTTAATATGATTAAATAATTTCACATATATTAGTAAATTGTTTATGAAAGTTATTATTTTTGTGGGTTTTACTTTTCTTTGTTTTCAATATTATATAACTTTGTAGGGTGGAAGCGAAGTATGGAATGTCCGCACCGAGACTGTCATAGCTTCAATAGCATTCCATCCACGGGAACAGCTGCTGGTGATAGCTACATTCAATGAACTCTATTTCTGGGACTGGAACAAACCTGCTCCTTTTACCAAAGTAACCACTAACAATGCCAATGAAAAAATAAGGTATTTTCTTAAGTTGTCAAATGCATATTTATGTATGTATTCAAATAAGCTGAATACTACGAATATAATTCTATATAAGTAATTTAATTACAGTTCTATTAGTTTAAATACTATTAGCTTTTGCCCGTGGCTTCGTTCGTGAAATTTAAAAAATCTAGTAATATTTATTTACTATCTTACACATTGCTAAAGTAGCTTTATAATGGTAAAAGAATTTTATAAATAAGTCCAAATAATAAAAATACAAATATCTCCTTTTTATAATCTTAATTAAAATTAAACGAGGTTAAGGCTCATATGCTTCTACTGTTATATTTAACACAATTTTGTTAATTTAATTCTTAATTTCCAGATATGTGGCATTTGATGCTTTAGGATACAAACTAATAACTGGAATATCGCAATGGGTGGGCGTGGCAACACCCACTTCTCTGCCACCACAAGGATCAACGAGCCCGCCGTTGCAAAATATTAGTCAATTCAGACGAGGAGATACAGATGATTTCAACAATGCTCCTCCGAATCCCCCTCCAAATGTTAACAGCACTTTGAATGTTAGTGGAACTCTTGCTGCAGCCATTGCCAACAATGGTGGAGATGACTCTGACGATGAAACGTACAGACGACCGCCGGATGGCACTCCGCAAGATATGATAGTGAACTCCTACCAAAGTCTAGTTCAACGATACGACAGCTTAGTGAGGAATTACCAAAGATTGTACATGGTCAGGCACCGACTCGGCAGAACTCCATCGCCACCGAATACGGTAACACAATCTTTTACTCTCCAATCTTACTAATTTACAACTAACAGAATGAATTCGATAAAATATTATTATTTTGTTTTATTTATTATAATATTTTTGATTATATTTTTATGACTTTCACATCAACATTTGATAAATAATTAAGTTAATTGTAGTTGTGAAGATTATGATTTAGCTGCTTTCTGTATGTAATTCTTCATATATATGTTAAGAGGTAAAATAATTTATAGATGGATCGCGGGACAGACCCCATGGAGACGGACCCTTCGCCCGGCGGCATCACCCGCATCGCCAGACCCACTCCACAAGATGGTAACATTAATAAATAAAACTCATTTTGTTAGGAAGAAGATCCTAAAACGTGGCGGTGTATTGTCCCAGCACTGGCCATGCTGAAATGTCGACGTTTGTGTCCCCTCACTATTCATTCTGACACTGGACTTTGTAACGAAACCACTTCATTCGCGACAAATGATTCTAAATTATAATGTCTAAAACTACTTTTAACCTGTTATATTACATAACTTTTATCAGTTAAATTAATTAATTAAAAAAATAAGACCAATTGAGACCCCTATTATGCTCCTGTATAATAACGCGACGGTCTAGACTTTTAGTGAGCAAATATATTACTGAAAAACATTATTTAAGCGTCAATAGCCTAATGGTTAAGAGTACGGATTTCCGAACACGAGGTCGAGGGTTCGAATCGGACCAAAAATCGAACAAAAAAAATCTGCTAATATTTTTAATTAAAAAAAAATGGTCGTTAGTCTGCCAATGATATTTAAAATGTAGAGTGACGATGTTTCAAATTCAAATCAGTTGCTATTCTATATAAAGAAGTTCGATTTGATTTAAATTCAATAATTAGTATGCGAGTGTTTTCCAGCAGGCAACTCTGGTGCGAGCACCTCGCGTGCACAAAACGAGGGTGAAAATGTCGAGGTCCCGGGCGCTAGCATTCGATTCCCTAATTTTAATTCTTTGACATTGGGAAACAGCTCACCCAGGTAATGTTATGACATATTTCTTACAAAATATTCGTAAGTTTTTTTTGTTCCAATCATAATTTATCTTTTAAGGGATCAACCTCCATCTCAAGAGGAACAGTCTATCTTCGGATCCGTATCCTCAGCGTTTCAACCTCTGAACGATTTCGCCGGCCGGCCCTTGAATAGACCTACATTCAGTACTCATCTGTCGAGGATGTTGATCAATCCGTTCTCATCCGCGGGCGGCCCTCCCACATCTAGCAACAGAGATTCCCAGCTCGAGGACAACTCGACTAATTCTTCGCGCACGAGCATATTTATCTCCTCCCGGCCGGAGACCGAAAGATCTGCAAATGCAAACGAAACGCAACGCGGACCGCAGAGAGACGCCTCGCAACCACCACCCGCCTCGCGCCGAGATCGCGTGCCCATAATACTCGAAGCGCTCGCGTCTCCCATCAGCCGCTGGCCGCCTCCGCCTCCCTACAGGACCTTCAGGAGCGGCTCTCAAAGGCCCACCATGACCAACTCTTCCACTCAAATGAGCCCCGTCTCCATGCCGATGGAGGCGCGGACTATAAATGAGAGTTTAGATTTAATTCGTGACATACTTCGAGATTCCGGTACCAGGCTGCTGAATTTGATCACCAACATGTCCTTGGCGACGTTGGCTAACATGGAAAGAAATAATCCTAATAATCCCCTACGCGGAGGTAACGGCCCCGCTCAACGCCTCACCGCCGGCGCCGCGTTGAGCGGCCGCGCCTCCCGCGACAACAGGGATCCGCTCTCCTCCTCCTCCGATTCCGACAGCGATCAGTCTATGGAACTAAATATATTTAGAACGCCCAATTCGAACTTCAGAGAGGATGATGATGTCTCGGACGATGAGGCGGCCGCCACTTCCAACGATGGCTCTCAACTACCCACCGACAGGATGACGTTTGAATTAAACGTCAACTTGCCCGACGAGACCGGAACGAATGGCATTAACCTGTCGGCTAGCGGTAGTCGATTTCATATTCGTACTCATAAGTTCGAAGCCGACGAAGGGGAACCGAGCACGTCCACCGAAGATCGCCCCGGCACGTCCGGCACGTCCGGTGCATCCGGAACCTCCGGCACGTCCGGTGCATCCGGAACCTCCGGAACGTCTGGAACGTCTGGGACGTCTGGATCTCGCCCTCAGCCCAATGTATTTCGACATAATGTGTCATCCACAAGTCGCGATACGTCTCGCACCCGAGGTAATGTCGTTCCTCCTAGTGAAATTTATAGGAAGGTAAAATCCGCTGTAAACGCCCTACAGAAACATACCGTGATACTGACGAACTTGTGGTTACACGGTCACCGGATCACTATGAACCAGCTGCGCAATACGTGGGACAACCTGCGCCGGCGCGTGCTCGTGCTGCAGCGGCAGACCGGCCACCAGGATGTGCCCACTCAGTACACGCGCACCCTGCTCGAGCGCTGCATGATACTGACGCAAATGTCAGAAAATCTCCGAACTACCGGCACCTTCGCTACCAGGCAGAGGACCGATAACAACGAAACAACCGGCCAAAGTGGGCAAAGTGGGGGTGCGACCGCTTCTAGCGGACAAGATCCACCGCCGCAGAACTATAGAGCCAGGCCGTCATCCGCTGCGAGATCCAATCAGAGAAGGTCCTCGCCGTCCCCCCGGTACCCGCCTCATCTCAGGCAAAGACTGATGTCTCATCGCAGGTGGACGGTCGAGGATGAAGTGAGACGAAGACTCAGGAATCCTACATTACACCGTCTAACTGAAAGGTACGGCAGCAGACCTCGCAGGGAATTCGCTAGGGCTCTCGAAATCAGTGCGACCAAACACGAAATCCGTATGAGAGCCATGCAGGTCCTCTCGGTGATGTTCAACATGATGATGATGTGTCTGGAGGAGCGCGGCCTGAGTAATGTTATCATTACAATGCTGAGAACCTTGAAGAAAGCTTTGGCGCTCACTTGTCTGATGCTTATGTCGAACAGACGCAACGCTCGACATCATGATAATCCGGCGCAGCAGGCCGTGCGCATGGAGGCTCTCAACGTGGTGCGAATCGAGCACATCGACCACGCGGGCCCGATCAACGTCGACGAATCGCCTAATTCCTTGTCCAGCGGCTCCGATGACGATCAACACCAGCGCGATCTTTATTTAACTTCTCAACAACCATCGCGCAAATCTCGCGACGCGCAGAGACAGAACGCGAATTCATCGAATAGAAGGAGTGAACAGATGCAAGAAAACTCACCGGCGTCCTCCGCCGCGAGCTCCTCCGCTCAAAAATGGAGCAACCGACTCGCCGTTCAAATTTCAGCGGCGAACCGAAATAACTCGATTACAGCGATCAATCGAAGAAAAATATATTTGGAGCGCAAGCGACAAAAAGCGTTGCACAGGACGAATCCTTCGGCTCATCCGCTACAAAAGAAAAAACTTCTTCCGCCGGTGTCCAATCACAGAATTCCCGCTCTACGCTCTATGCCGCGGAAACCTAAGACCGGTTTCAGGTACAATCCGAACAGAAACCAATCGTCGAATACCGACCCGATCCCGGGCCCCTCCAGCCTGGCGCCGGGCGCCGAGTCTACGAGTCAGGAGACGCCCAGAAACGAATTATTAGTCGATTTGGAGAACAGAGTAAATTTAATAAGATTGGCGCACTTACAAACCATGAGGATGCGTCAAGCGCGGAGGCACATGGAAATGATAAGGGTGTACGCGCCCAGCTCGGGGCGCGACATCGTCTCTCGTCCGTTTGGCAACAGCGAGATCTTGCCGCGGGACCAGCGGATCGCGATGCAAGCCAGCTTTCCGACACTGGCGTCGGCGCCGGCACCACCTCCGCCCGCGGTCCCGGCTCCGGCACCGGCCCCGGCACCGGCTCCCGCTTCGGCTCCGGCTTCGGCTCCGGCACCAACTCCAGCTTCGGCTTCGGCTCCGGCACCGGCTCTCGCTTCGGTTCTGGCTTCGGCTTCCGCTTCCGCTACGACGACCCCGGCCCCGGCTCCGTCCCCGGAGATCAGGCGGCGCCCATTCCCCGAGTACCTGCCGCCGCCGCCCTCCTACTACGGCGACAGCGACCCTATATACTATCAGGAACGCTACCTTCCGAACAGCGCCTCAATACCCATAGTGCAATTCCGCGAACTGCCATACGACGCCTCCGGCAACCCGGCGCAGAGACTGCCGAGGATACACGAATATCTGCAGCCGATTATTCTAGCGCAGGTGAGAAGTGATAATTATTCAGCATTACTAATCAAAACATCATAAATAAAACTGTCCTTTACTTGCTTAAGAATAATTATTGCGAATTCTTATTTTCCTACTCATTTAGTTATTGTCATAAATAGGTTCGTATATTGAGTATGTTAATAATTTTAATTAGGGCAATTATTCAAATTCATTTAACGACAGTTGTACAAATAATAAAAAAATAATTTGTTCATTTTCAATTTCAGAATGCAATGTTGGTGGAGGAAGAGGCTAACGCGATGAACGGCGGCGGTGGTGCGGGCGGCGGTGCTGGCGGCGGTGCGGGGGGCGCTGCAGGCGGGGGAGGCGGCGAGGCAGGCGTGCGGCTGGTGGGCGCGCGGCGCGTGGGCGGCATGGGGGGCATGGGAGCCATGGGTGGCATGGCGGGCCTGCTGGACGCGGGCATCATCTCGGAGACGATGCCGGCGCCCGCGCACCGCGTGCAGGCCTGGGACTTCACCGCCGGCGCCGCGCCCGACATCGCTGACAGTGCGTATAATCTCCCATTTCCTATCTCACGGACACTTCGATCAAACTGTACCTAAACTGTTGTCAAAAAAGCGCACCCCCATTAATAAATAAGGATTTTAGAAAAGAAAATTGCAAAATTGTTTAAAAGTTTTCAAACTATGTTTAAAAATGTATGTCCAGGTAACAAGAACGTGGTGGTGCGACGGTGTAGGATCCACAACGACGCAAGTATCGACATATCCAAGGACGGCAGACTTCTCGTGGCGCTGCTGCCGGTGCCGAGATTTAGAAACACCAATCATTTGCTAGGTAACTTATAAAGACACAATGTAAATTAAGTAGTATGAGTAACTGTGCTAGAATTGATGACCTATAGATCAGCTAACGGTTCAAGTGTGCGAAGCAGATCAGTGACCCGGTTCTGGGTTTAGCTCAATTTGTGCCTGCTTACAGTTACGATTTGAGTTTTGAGTCGCGAATTGCTAGTCACCACGCAGGTCGCGGTTCCTCGAGTCAATTTAGTTACTGAACCGATTCAGAGCTAATAAGATATGTGGTGTATTGTTTCACTTAGGCGTGTATTCGCTGGAATGGTCGCGGCTGGGCCACTGCCTGCACACAGCTGTGCTGGAGCAGAGTCCGGTGTCGGTGGCGCTGTCGCCCACCTCGCGGCACCTCGCCGTCGGCCTCGGGTCGCGCCGCTTCACCACCACGCCGCACGCCAGGAACAACGTCTTCGCACAACTCTATCGCCTCGATCCACCCGGTATTACCTTGTTACTAATTTAGCCATCTTTTTTAAAATGATTGACATATATTTAACACCGGCGTCTATACTAATAATGTTCAGAGGAAAGTTAATGATACATAAATTTTAGCATTGAACATATGACTTAATATTAAAAAGGTTATGTTGTTGACTTTTCAGAAAATACGAGCAGGACCGGTCTGGCGCCGATCAAGGAGTTGGAGCAGAACTGGGAGCACGGCTTCACCAGCCTCAACTGTCTGCGCTGGGCGCCGCAGCCCGGACAGGGACTCGTCTACGCCAACAACACCGGCCAGCTCATCATCATGAGCTAAGTGCACAAAACAACTGTATACCATACCCATACCAGATCAACGCCTAAATATTGTAAATCATCATCATCCACCTTTGTCCTCTGCTGAACATAGACCATGTTAAAACATACAAACATAAAATTCCAACCACGGCGGCCATTTTATCTAAAATTTTGTAGTTTTTTAGTAATTAAGAAAAAATGGTTTGAATTGGCCAATGATAATGCGTATTTATAAAATTTAGGCATTAATTTGGAACAAGGTATTCCATTGATAACGTATTTCTGAATCATTTCGTCATTGGCTCAACAATAAACTCGAGTAATGAGTTTCATATATCTAGCAAACAATCTAAGTAACTCATGGCTTGTAAGACGATTAAATTTAGTTGAATACTCTGTATTTCTAAATTATCACTCAATTATAACAGAAATGACAACAAACTTCTGACAAGACTTTACTTATCAAACTTAAAAAAGACAATCACTGAACTAGTAACAATAATATTTGGACGCTCTAGTTAAAATACTAGAATATTCCCATTTTTAATATAATATAGAAAATTCTATCCGAATTGTGACATATAACTTTTATGACTTGAATGAGAGAAAGGAGGAGCAAAGGAAACTTTTGAAATGGATACATGGCCTGTGTGTTAACAGATGGTAGATTTAATAAAGAAAATGGAATATCCCGGAATGTGTCAATGACCTGGCTATACATAATCTGTATTGGAGCCATAGATATGGAATAAAAACAAGTATAGACATGACTAAATAACGATTCTTCGTAATTTAATCACCAAATGGTAAAATATTACCGTCGAATGAACGGTAGAGTTGAGAAATTGAGCCAAATGTATGTCTATTGAGGTTGTATTTAAGAGAAATGTATGGATGTTTGAATGTTTAGAATGCAAGATTGGCTTGAATGTTTATGTATTTGTTCTGATTATGTTTATGCAGTGTACAAAAAACAGTTCGCCTAGTGTTCGTTTATCCGATATATTTGGTTTGTTCCGCGTCGATGTGCACTAAAATGACAGTTCATTGCAAATGTCAAAAAGGAATCAATGCCAATGCAACGTGGACACAATGACTGATTGTTTTGTTTTAAAAAGTAACCTCAAAAAATGCCATATTGATTTTTTGATTTATTTAAATCAGAGGTTAGGAGTATACTGGGAATTATTGCATATTAAAAAAATGTCAAATAGGTGTAATGTGAGTAATTAGGAATATCGATGTTGAAAATGTATCGATGTTTTATCAAGAAGCAGTGGAGTCAAGTTCATTTATAAAGTTGGACTTTTGCAATAATTATGTTGTCTTTGAAATGCAAAATACTGTAATCATGTAGGATTGCGTCAAACCATAACTGTGGAATCGACTACAGTGAAGTTCTATTATCGCACATAGTTGTCTATGGTAGTCACGAGAGAAACCCACAGCAATGTGGTTAATCAATAAAAATTTATCCTTTTAGTGTACAGTGTTTTTCAAAGTTCGGGTCGCAAATCGTAGATAGGTCGAAATGCCTCGAAAAATTGTGGTAATTTATATTGCCGTCACCTACACAGCGTGGTTAACTAACCGTGAGTTTCCGATACCAAACCGTTTAAAACATATTGTCTTCCGGTTATCTTTGACAAAACAGATGACAATATGTTTTTAACGGGGATTATTGTCTCGGAACGACGGCATAATCAGCTATGCGGAAATAAGTGGAACAATCAATAACCACTTTTCTGTCATCTCGGGTCTCGAATAAGTGGTTTGTTTGTTTGTTGGTCGTGTAGTGAATAAAGATGAAAAACACTGATTTACACAATTACATTTAAATTGATTTAATTTCTTTCACTAGTGCCATTTGATATCCGAAGGCATTTTTATGTGTTCATAAAATCGATGTTACGATTATGATGAAACACAACATCGATATTTTATAATTACCTATAAAATATTTCGATATAGTCAATGTTTCAAATTTTAAGGTTATTATATGTATAGAAATAGTTTTAAATAGGTCTATGTCTTTCATTAAATTTATTTTAAGATCTTTTTGATCTCTATATCTAAAAATTAGTAATTTATAATAAATTTCAATGTAAACAAAATTAAGATTTTCGGACAGTTTCATACCTTTTAAATTTGTATATTCTTTCGATTATATAAATTCAAAAATCGTTGGTTAATAATATATTCATTAAAAAGCACTCATATAGATATAAATACATATACGTTACATATACAGTCAAATTTGGATAAGCGAGAAACCTTTATAAGCTAGAGTCATTGTTTGATCCTATGTAACTGACGACCTCCATTTGCAAGAAACTGGGCAACCTCTAGTAGCGAGAAAAATATTATGGTCCCTCAGACTCTCAGTTATCTAGGTTTGACTGTACATCATTTTATGCATTGTCACTTATTTTAAGTCATCACTATATCTTAAAATTAATAAAAAAAACTTTTATACGTACCGTTAAAGTGTAATAAAGTTAAATATCCAAAGTAATCAAAAATGAAATATTTAAAAACTTATCTTTTGCCATAAATGTGTGAAGATTGTTTTGAATTTAATATAATTGTGCAATTTAAAATTAGGTTATTATTATAAAGGTTGATTGGCCCCGTTTCTTTTATGGTAAATTTGAGATCTTTTGTAATTGAATTAAAATATTTAAAAATAGTGTTTCCACATAATACTTTAACAACACGTAATAATAAAATACTACGAAAATTCAAAGACATTATTTTTTTTTGTATATGGCAATAAAAGTCTTAACCATGTGTCACTGTATTTTTAACATTTTTGCAAAAACATAATAAAACAAGGCAATTCTTTAGAATGATGGTTCTACTTATGTTATTATACAATTAGTAACTTTCTTGTACTATAGTCTGTTAGCGTTAAGAAAATAGTGAGTTATCAGTGCAACTACAGGGCAAAAGGTTCACAGTGGAGTAAAAATTATAATAAGTATAAACATTGTAAATTACGCGTCTCTCTCCGCTATGAATTATTGATCCACTTTTGTTCTTTCGAATATGTGAGGTATTCATTTTCAAAATTTAATGTTGAACGAGTAACGCGCAAAATACACAACCGTTTTGTTCGAAGGAACAGGTCACTGTGAACTCGACTTTCTAATTTCTTGTATTTTAAATCACTGCGGGGCGTGGCCAGGCCTGTGGACAACGATAATTCACTATTTTCTTAACACGAACGGACTATAGTATATTGTTTCACGAAAGTTTTAATAAATGAAAAAAGTTCTATATGATTTTGATTACTTTGGATACTTATGAAACAATTAAAACCTATTTGAGAGTATAAATTTTATTTTTCGCTTTTTGAATTATAATCTCATTAACAATACAATAATAAATAATATGTTTGATAAATTAACAAAATAATACTTTTCGAATTACAGTAATGAATCTCAGCATCGTACAAAATTACAATATTGTTCTTACATTTTGTTATATTCAACATAAATTGGTAATTTTAAAATAATTTGTCTTTACAACTTAGTTAATTCAGTTCTTTCCCATTATAGTGTGTCTATTTAAGATAGTTTAGTTTGACAATTCACTAGATAAGGGTTGAGTAAAATCGATTAAGAATTTTCTCGATTTTCGATGGTTGTTCTCATAGAATTTGAAATCGAGAATACGTAATTATTGTTTTTGAATTACAATATAATTAAAATTATTTCTTTTCATTCCTACTCTATCCTTCATAACTACATAAAGAAATAAGATATCAAACCAAAAATTGCGGTGTTGACGAACTAACAATTTTTTTTTAATTAATCGTGCAATACATATCCAAATAACTGTAGTAAATTCAAAAAGTTATAAAATACTTAAATTATAGTAACCATTTGTTTAATTAATTTTATTACAAGAAAGATAACCGATAGTTCACAGTTATTCGTTGTGCGCGACGGTTCGACACTATGACAACCGTCCATTTACATCAGTGGTTCCCAAACTTATTTTGTCTACTAACAACTTTGAGATCAAATATTTTTTTAGCGCCCCCATATTTTCACATATTTAAAAACCACTATAACTTCAAATTAAATTAATTAATTATTGTGACCTATATATGTATATTAACGGAGAATTCTAAACGAAACTTTTACTACAACCAGCAACTTGAAACCTGCAGCGCCCACAAGGGGACGTTATCGCTCACTTTGGGAAAGACTGTTTTACATAGTACCACATTAATTACACAAAATTATTTCGATATTTTATAGGCGTCAGTTGTGAAACTAATCTATCTTAAATAGACACACGACAATTGTGGGATTTTACAAAACAAAATACATTTTTCATTGCAAGCTAAGAAACAATCATAGCGATATCTTGTTCATTTTATTTACAACATTATTTTCGCCATTGATTAATTTTTACTGTTCAATCTTTGAAGGAAATATAATTTACTTTTTCTTGTTTACTATATTTTGTTAAAACCTTCTGAAGAGGGATATACTAAATATTGCAGCAATATATAAATTAAATAAAAAATTCTATTATTCAAATTTATAAGCAATTGGACTAAAAAATTCTGTCAAAAAATTCTTCAATTTGCATAATTATTGGAATCATTTTAATTTTAACTTATCAATAATAAAATCGATCAATGCGACGAAAACAGTTATAACTCTTATATTACCTTTTAAGTTATATAACTCTTATCGTAGTTTGGATTGAAATATACATTTTCTTGTATATCTTTTATCTTATATACATGTTTATGTAATAGATGTAGTACAGCAGTTTTATATAGATGATCACAAATACACGATAATCTTTAGAATCTTTAAATCCATAGATATTAGAGTTAATGTTTTTTCGTCTTAATAATTAATTGTAAAAATTTAATATAAGGGTCGTCATCAGTACTTTTTAGCCGACTTCAAAGAGTTTTGTCTGTAATTTTTTTATATGTTGACAATCATCGTCCTTCGAATTTGCTCTGGATAGCTTATTTATTTTCATTTATAACTATCCTAACTTAATTGACCTGTTAAAGTATTGCAAAGATTTCAAAAGTGCAATATCAACTCTGCATCCTAAAACTTCCATTGAAGACGCATTGCTTGTCTTCCATTAACATGGTCACGAGGTCTTTGACTCCGAATTGTTAAAAGTCTAATTTATATATCTATCATCGCTAATTAAACAAGTATCAAGTCAGTACCTTTCTTTCACTCCTTACTCTATTCTAATTCGTCCCAATTATTGATTCTCGTTAAATATGACACCAGCGAAACATAGTCCAAGAGCCTATGATTTAAAAATTTATCAGTATTGTGATGACGGCCATTAAATTGTGGAATTGTAAATGTTAGTGCATATATCGCTTCATATTTATATACGCAGCTTTGTGTAAGACTTAGGCCTTTGCTGATTATGGTGAGTCTCCACTGTAGTAACACGTGACAACGATATCGCTGTTTCTTTCATTCTCTTTGAGAAAAAAGGAAAGGGAATGTTCCCATAAGTGTTACTCCAGTTGAAATCCACGTTTTATAGCACTATACTAGATAGTGGATATCTTTTAATCGGTCTCATGCTATTCAATGTTTTATTCTAATTAGGCTAGTTCAATTTTTAAACTATTTAATAATACATTATGCTATTAAGGTAGGCGAGCATTTATTGGTCATTTTTAGCCTAATTTTCCTAAATTTTATAGTAATTCCACATGACTAATTTGACAGTATTTTATAAAAATTATTTAATATGCTATATTGTTCACCTTTTTATACAAAACAAACTTAATTGTCAGTTTTTAAATTTTGTTAAAAATTTGAACATACTATAGGATCTGATATTTACCTAACAGTTTTACTCTGGGTTTAATAATTATGATATGTTACATGAACACAGAAAAATCGGCGTTTTTTATACTTTATGTATCTAAAACAATTCATATGTTAAATTTAGTGGCGTCATAATGACATTTAGCAATTGACAACTGGCAAGTATAAAAAGTTTACGTTCAAAACGAACGTTAAAATTTCTCGATACACAAATGCCACGTGTCACGCCACAGCCAATATCCATACCTTGTTTGTTTGACGAGCTGATTTTATCAGTTTATTTTATCTATTATTTTAGATAATTGTTTAATTCTGGAGATTCCTTATAATCCATACATCATTTAACTAATAGAAAGCGGATCCACTTTCTGTTTTTACATAAATATATTCGGATACTCTTTTACAATGTGATTGAGAATTTCGTTCCTTTCGAATTTGAAACGTTACTGAAGAAAATTAATTTTAAATGCAACAAATCCTTAATATGTTCCTTTTTTGTTTCTTTCACATTTATAAGAAGCCATTTTTTTTAATTTTAAACGGTATATAATTAAGGTTTTTATTTAAAATGTAAATATTTATCCCTCTTCGGATAGTTTGTGATAACCATTTATTTTGAAAATGTACAGATATTGAATAAGAAAAAATGTACAGTGAATGTTACGCTTGTGTCTAATAAAATTTAATAATTGCAAAAATTGTTTCATTTACCGTGGGTTTCCGAGATTAAAATCTACGTTTAAAACATATTTTTATCTCTGTGTTCTCAAAGGTAATGACAGAGATGACGATATATTTTATACAGAGATTTTGAATTCAGAAACCCATGGTTTTTCCTATACTTTAAGATGCACTAATGTTTTTATGATGTTATGATGAGGTATAAATGCATTTTGTAATAGATCTTTTAAGATATTTATGAGTTATTATTTTAAAAATCAAAAGCTCAAGGTCATTTATAAAATATTAAAATAAAAGAAACGTGTATAAATATCTTATTTTATTCAGTTTTCATAGAATGTGATCGCATAAATGAGGCTGTGTCAAATAAAAAAAAATCCTTTAAAGAAAAAATATAAAACTTTAAACATTAAATAATTGATACGATAATTTAGAGACTGATAAATTAATTTAAACAAAAAAAAATTGGACAATTTTATAAAAAAAATGTTGACAAACATCAGATTACTGAATTACCTTTTTACTAATGCGTGAAAAAATATTTTTACTCAGTAAATAACCAATACTGACAATATTGCAATATATAAAATATAGCTATTTTTAACATTTTATTACCTACATCAGCATTTAACATAACATACAAAAAATCTAGTCACACCACAAGTACCTCAGAAATAGTACTTTAATATTGAATATACTGGATTTTATATTAAATAAAAAAAAACCTAAATAATATTATGGTTGAAAGTAATTGTGATATAATTATTATTTGTAACATGACTTCAGGGATGTCACTAAACACGTCATAAAAACTAAAAAAAAATAAATGGTTTTAACAACTTACAAAAGACATAAGTGAAACCATTTAAATAACTCTAATCCCTACAAATATTTTCCTTTTTTTAAAAAAATGTTAATTTTGCTCGTAGCACAAATATACTTTCTCTGAGTCATCACAGATCGAATGTTGAATCCATCAGAATAGCAAAGTTATTTGAGGGGTGGTATCCTCGCGCCGCGCACCCCCCTGACTTAGAAGCGTTTAAATATATTAGCATCTATAACTAACTTCTTTCTGAGGAGGAAGTGGCAATAATAAAATGCAGTAAATGTTAGTGCTCTAACGGTTTAAGCTCTTTGATTTGCTTTATAAGGTAAGCCTTCTCGTCGTTGAATTGCTCGTCTTCAGAACGATCCGTGTGGAATTTTGTTAGGAAATCTACTAGCTTGTCTTGATTCCTTAACAGTATATCCAATATTGGCTTCGGCTTATTGGGGTTTGCTACAAATACCTGAAATAAGCAGAAGACATAAAATTTACGTCATTTGAAACATAAATAAATTAACACATAAAAATGTTTAACATTCAAAAACTTTGTTCTTTGTTCAAAAAGCTTACCGTAAGAATTTATTATTTTGTTCTAATCAGAAATTATTTTTATACTAGCTATCACTTGCTTCTCCCTTTGCGCAGAATAAAAAAAACTTAATTAGTAGCCTATGTGTTCTACCAGGCTATGTTCTACATCTATGTCAAATTTCAGCGAGATACATGCAGCCAATCTGAAGATACTTCATCCTCCAACATCCAAATATATGCATTTATTATAGTAAGATATGCACAAGCTTACCTTAAAAACATGAAAGGCCTCAAATTGTATATTACGTGACTTTTCTTTAAGCATGTTCATCATAAGCTTGAGATTGTCTGGGTTGGTGATGTAGCGAGTCATTATGGAGAAGTTGTGTCGGTCCAGCAGCAGCTCCCCGAGCAGCTTGAGGCTCTGCCGTCGTGTCACGTAGTTCTCAGAATTTAACAACCGCTGATAGTGACTAAACACCTTATCGTAGTTTGCTTCTAAAAATTCGGCACATAACATCTTATGTCTTGTTAGCAATTCCTTAAATAAAAACAAAAACTCAAGTTATAAAATGTATCAAACAATATTTATAATCATAATAAAGCTAGGTTCTAACTAAGATGATTTTTCAGTGTCAAAATGTCCATTTTTCTTTTCTATTTTCCTCATTCTCTACAATAAGTAAAAATTTTGACAATGGAAAGTGTAACATGCAACAAAGCAAAATGCAAATATTAACCATTTTTATATAATATAAATCATTGGAATCTTTATATAAGAAAAATTAAGTACATCTCTGTAATTTCAAAAGGTCTTTGTAACTATGTTATCTATAATAAATTGGAGTTGTTTACAATACATTGATATACAAAAGTGTCAAATTCATAGCAATGGTCATCAATTACCATTATTTATCACATATCACACAATACTGTGTACAATACTATGAATACAAACCGCAGTATCTCTTAGTAAATATGTACTTATGTAATTTATGACACAATCAAATAAGAATTTAACTTATGTAAACACTATCAAACATTGAAAACATAGTCATTTTAGGCAACACGCCTAATAATAAAAGAAAGATAAAAAGAAAAGCAAATATAAAATGTATTTTATTTGTAGTTTTAAATATATTCTATAACAACACTCAAATAGTAAAACTTAATTTGATATATAATTCATAGATTACATACAAATTAAATATTTAAAAAACCTACCTTAAAAGTAGAAAAGGCATCCGATGCGATATCAAAAGTTGAAACTTCTACATAACGGAAGAAATTATAAAAGTCATCTGAATATAACATAATCTTTGCTAAGGCCTCGTATCTGGCACATTCTCGTAACATTGTGCCACAGTTCGATGCAATTTCTTGATGTTCATACCTATAAAATAAAAAATTATATTTATTCAAAAAAACATAAAAAGTAATCCTAGATAGCTCATAAATTCTGTGCAATTGAAAAAAATATGTACTTTTCAGAAATCATTGGCAGGACAATATTTAATTTATCTTGTATTAGACTCCCACTGTCTCATAATCTTGTATTGAACAGTACTGAACTAGACCCTAATGATAACTCATACAATTACGTGAAACAATTGTGTTAAAACACATATATAAAAGAAATTGCTCTTACTCTTTTGAAATGAAATTTGGAACAAACCTTATTCAAAGAAAAATTATGTTTGATGCTTAATTTTTTTTTATGAAATTATGTCAACCTCTAGTAAACATAATGATCCGTTAATTGCTTCAACAATTAGTTCAAAGACATTTAAAAATGTTATTTAGATATAACAAACTGCTTTGGAATGTTATTGTATAAAAAACATAAAATAAAAATATAAAAACATTTTCATTCAACACTTCAATACAAAATAAAAATAATATGCTGTAAAATAATCTATAAACGTAAATATAATTACATATTATCACTGGTTAGATAGAAATGATGAATGGTTTTTTTTTAATAATAAATAAATATATCTCATGCAATATATCAATATATGTGGCATAAAATAAATGTAATTAACATTATTTTTATTACTTAAACTTGAATGGCTGATGAATTTTAATACTATAACAAGCATGATGCAGCATACAGATTCCAAGATTAACAAAGTTTTCTTTAATAAATTTATGTTACTTATATAAGCTAGTAACAGGAAGTGTGAAATAATATATGAAAAATATTAAATAATTATTTAAAAGAGACACTTGTTATTCAAACACACTGATAGAAAATCCAACTAAAACAGGTTAGGGCAAGAAATATGCCACTCTATGTAATTATCAATAGCATTATTTACCCAGACATCAAGGTGAACAATATTTCTGGCTTAGTACATATGTACTCAACTGTCGGTGAGCGGGTCCCAATTTGACGTCTTAAAACATTATTGAACACTTGAGCTACATCTTTCTTCCCTTCGAAGTCGATTCGGTTCAAATTCTAAAGAAAATATAACATTTAAAAGCTTGGAAGAAATCAAGCAGTATTGAATTTAATCAATATATTTTAGGTTAGAACATACTTGTATCAGCAAGAGAAGAAGATTGGTGTTGTACAATTCCTGAGCTAGCTGGGCTACTATGATGTCCGTCTGTGGCTCTGCATCAGACGTCCCATATAACATGTTTTTTATTAAAACCTGCAAGATATTAATTTTTCAATGCATAATTAATTTAAACATTAATAAAACATAGGTGGTAAATTGACATATAACTCACCAAGTTTTTGCTAACATCTTCTTGAGCCTTTTCAGCTTTCTTATCACCTCTCTCTAAGGCCGTAACGGCATCTTTTAGGGATCTCACGAGCTCCGCAGGGCTCTTTTGAGACTTACCAAAAAGAGGCATGTTATTACAATAATTTTTACCGATGATTCGAAAACCCTGTCCACATAAGATTACACCTGCAATGTGTTTTTTGATACAATAACAAAAACAGACGACCAATAGATTGTAACACAATGTACTTGCACTTGATATTCAAGAGAATGCAAGAGGAATAAAAATAACGATAAGATTAGGATGACAAACGAGGGTGAATCTTACAAATTGTTATGACAAGTAGGGTGTTCCTTATTTTTTTATTTTATTTACCTTAAAGTACTCTAATTATACTAAACCTCACTCACTTTATGATAATTAAAATTTAGGTATACTCTAGCGAGATAGACCATAGCCAGACGAAACGAACAGCTGTGATGTCAATGCATACTTGCCAGTATAAATAAGCGTATGACACATTTTCCATTCCTATCCATCAACTCATTGTATTTGTTCGATAAAGTTTAATAAACGATTTGCTGCAAGACTTTGCAAAAAAATTTAACACGCAGCTTTAAATGCTTGCTTGTGTAAACGTGATTATTTTAATAAATGGAGACACTAGGTGTAGTAACACTTTCGTCAAAAAATATGGTAATGATGGGAATTGTGAACGTGTCGCATATGTCAAGAGGAATAACTTTTTAAATAGATTTAGGTTAGGAGTTTAAGGCACTCGATTATTTACATTATAGAGTATTTTGTCTAATAATGGCTGAAGCTCCCAGTGAAAAACTATCAAAGAAGTGAGTATTGTGTGATATCCATAAAAATGTTGACTTCGAAGACGTTGACTATCTTTGGTGGTATTTGGGCTTCAAGAAACGCATTTGCCATCAATCGATTCACAAATTTTTCTACAGCAATTAGCAAACGGTTAGTCTAATTAATATAAACGTAGCAGCAAAAATAAACTTACATGTTTATTTTTATCATTTGTTACAGTGAGTTGAAACGTCGAATGAAAGCTGAGCAAAAATTAAAAGAGAAGGCTGAAAAGGCTGCGCAGCAACCAGCTCCGACTGTAGAAAAGAAATCCACAAAACCTGATGAAGAAATAAGCCCGAATGAGTACTATAAAATACGATCAGCGGCTGTTGCTGCACTCAAAAGTGGTGAAAGAGAAGATCATCCCTATCCACATAAATTTACAGTGACAACATCATTAGAAGGCTTTATTGATAAGTACAATTCCTTGAATAGTGGAGAAATATTAGAAAATGTTACCGTATCTGTTGCTGGCAGAATTCATTCAATTCGTGAATCTGGAGCCAAATTAATTTTTTATGACTTGAGAGCTGAAGGTGTCAAAATACAGGTATAAACTTATGTACATTAACAAGAAGTTTGATAAATTTTTATACCCTTTTTCTAAAGGTGTCTTTTAATGTAAATTATTTTTAAAAAATCATGTATATTTTTAGGTCATGGCTAATGCTAAAATGTATGAATCTGAAGAGAAGTTTGTGAAGGACACTGACAAATTAGGAAGAGGAGATATCATTGGTTGTGTTGGTCATCCAGGCAAGACCAAGAAAGGGGAATTATCTATCATACCTAAAACCATTAAGCTTTTATCACCATGCCTGCATATGTTACCTCACTTACATTTTGGTCTTAAAGACAAAGAAACAAGGTTTCGAAAGAGGTATTTAGATCTAATTTTGAATGATAAGGTGAGTCACAGAAGAGTTTACTAAATAATGTATTTTTAGTTCCAAAAATTATACTTTGTTTTCTTATTATAAATAATGATTGTGGGAACTTTTGAACTTTCATTGATTAAAATAATTAATATCCATGACTGTACAAATCTTATAAGACAAAAGATGTGAATGTTATCTGTTTAATATACAATATTAATTCCCATTATTAGATAATGACATAATTGCCTGCAACAGATTATTCATATCAAATGAAGTAATGATTATAAATCCTATTATTAATTCCATTCTCATAGATAAATGCATACTTCATTTGTAATAATCAGCTTAAACCGACCTTAAAATAGACTGCATAGTTTATAAAGCTATTGTAATATTAATGATATTCCGAACCAATATTTTTGTTACATATTGAAAGTTCTTTTAGGTGAGACAAACTTTCTACACAAGAGCAAAAATCATATCGTATATCAGACGATTCTTGGACACTATGGGTTTCTTGGAAATTGAAACACCAATGATGAATATGATAGCCGGAGGAGCTACTGCCAAACCTTTTGTCACCCATCACAATGATCTTAACATGGATCTATACATGAGGATAGCACCTGAATTGTATCATAAGATGTTAGTTGTTGGTGGCTTGGATCGGGTGTACGAAATAGGTAGACAATTCAGGAATGAAGGCATTGATTTAACACATAACCCGGAATTCACAACATGTGAATTTTATATGGCGTATGCAGATTACAACGATCTTATCACCATAACGGAAACTATGATTTCTGGAATGGTTAAGAGTATTCATGGTAGTTATAAGGTAATTATTCTCAACAATACTGTCATCAACCTTTATGAACTTTGTTAGTAGCTGAGACTTATAATAACAAACTCACAATTTGTAGAAACCTTGATAAAATGACCAGCTGTGAAATTAATAAAAAAACATAATTAGTATCCTATATCTTCTTCCAGACTATGTTCTACAACTATGCCAAATTTCAGCGAGATACCTTGAGCTGTTCCGGAGATACCTTCACACTACCATCCATCTAAACATTCGCATTTATAATATTAGTAAGATTTAATTAACAATCGTTAATATACATTATTTTTAGGTATAATTTCATATTGCCAGCAGAAATTAAGATTTTTTTTAAATATTAGGTTACCTATCATCCGGATGGCCCTGAAGGCAATGAGGTTGAAATTGATTTTACCCCACCGTTTGCCCGAATGCCTATGATTGCAACGTTGGAGAAGGTACTTGGTGTCAAACTACCCCCAGCTGATAAGCTGGATACTCCAGAAGCTAATGCCCTTCTTAGTGAATTGTGTGTTAAACATGAGGTAAATTATTTGTATACATATTTATTCTCATTATAGAATATTACTAAGTTATTTATTTTCATTAACCCTTAAATGGACGATTTTTTTTTTACGTTTTAAAAAAATATATTTGTGTAATCATTTATTTTTAATGCATAAAAATATTGGATAGTGCCAACATTAAAAAAAGTACAAAATTCGTTCAGAAATAAGAACTAGTTGTCAAAATTAACAAAAAAATAAAATAAAGATAATTTTATCTGTGATGTTTAGTATGTTGTTTAAAAACAACATTGTCCATTTAAGGGTTAATTGGTTGTTAGTATTTAAATGTTACTTAATTTTAAACAGGTTGAATGTCCTCCGCCCAGGACTACAGCCAGGCTACTAGACAAACTAGTTGGCGAGTTCCTTGAAGACAAATGCATTAATCCAACCTTCATATTAGATCATCCACAAATTATGAGTCCACTGTCCAAGTACCACAGGGAAATACCAGGACTTACTGAAAGGTATGCTAATATTTCCACAAAATCTAGTTACAAATCAATAAAATTAAATAGCTTTATACAAAACATGATGACCTTAGAATTTTTTATGTTTTACTAAAATTAATTTTATGAAATTACAGATTTGAGTTGTTTGTAATGAAAAAAGAGATATGCAATGCATACACTGAGTTGAACGATCCGGCGACGCAGCGGGAGCGTTTTGAGCAGCAGGCCAAGGACCGCGCTGCCGGCGACGATGAGACCCCGCCCACCGATGAGGCGTTCTGTACCGCGCTCGAATATGGCCTGCCGCCAACCGCCGGCTGGGGCCTTGGTGTAGATAGGTTCACGATGTTTATGACTGACTCCAATAACATAAAAGTGAGTATAAGCTTTGCTTTTAAGGGTTTTAATAATTTAATTCTAAACTTCAAATATGGAATGGTTAACATTTACCGCAGAATAAATATTTTTAAACTTATAAGCCTCACATATTGATCATGTTACAGGAAGTGTTGCTGTTCCCAGCCATGAAACCAGATGATCCTAACAAGCATCACAATGAAAACGAACCTGAAGGGTCTTCCGTTCAAAATGGGACCCAATAGTATTTATATTGATGTTCTGAAGTTTGTTTAACTAAACCATGTACTTTGCATTAATAAAATATCAAAAGAAACAACTGTATTATTAATTGTCTTATAATAACAATATAAATAAATATTGAATATCAATGGCTTAAAAAGAAGAAAACTTTTATTAAACTATTTAGATTTAAGCATATTCATACTTTACGCAACATTTACTTGAATTATATACTTAAAGTACATAACTAAAATTGTAATAGCTATAGACATTTATATATTTTCAATGTACAATCTTAGAAATAAATTAATTTTCTATATGTTCTTCATCTGCAATGACTAATGTAGAATTGTAATGTGCGCCTAATCTGTACATATGTCTGTGATAAGTGATAACTAAAGAAGGTCCCTCAAACTCTTCACCTTGCTCTATAGAAGATGGTCCTGTTGCTTGTATTATACTGATAGGACATTTCAAATTATTTGACAATGCTCTAATTTCTATTTGGCCACCCCATACCTTACTATTTACTATTTTTTCACAATATTCCTCAAATTCACCATCTGTAAGCATATCACATGTTTCTGGGTGGCTCAGAAATGGCATAAAATCTTCTTTATTTTCTCTTATGTAATTAGAGGTTTGTTTCCTTAGTTCCTCTACTGATAATGATTGCTTTCTCTTAACAAGTAACTGATGTGAAACAGCTTTATATAAACAATCTCCATCTGAAGAAATCGGATATACCTTCAAATTCATTTCTTTTAATCTATTACAAATTGCCTGATTTTCTAAATTTCTCGGTCCATTGATGTTCTCTTTTTCTTGTAACTTTATTTCTTGCTCGCGTTCTCTTTCTTGTTGTTCTTTTTTAACTCGTCGTTTTTGAGCTTTCGATAACTTAACCTTTATCTCTTCATTTTCGTCTGTTTGTTCAAATCCATTTTCGATGGAAAGTTCTTTCGAAACCTCTTCGATTTCTTTCTTTTGGCGATCTTCAAGTTCTAATTCTAACCTTACAATTTCTGCGGTGAGCTCTTTTTTCTTTGTTTTATCATTTTTTGCAACTTTTTTTAGTGCTTGAATATGTGCTTGTAATTCTTTTTTTTCTTTCTTATGTTTGTTTTCTAGCATTTCAACTTCGTTGTTTTCTTCAATGTAATCTGCCATCATCTAGTTATCAAATCTAGCTGGTGAAAAAAGGAATGTTCATAGTTTTCGAAATATAGGGATTAATTGAATATTGAGTTTGACAATTTGACATTACTGTCAATAAGTCAATGACAGTTGTAGAGACTTTAGAGTGACTTTTTTTTAGTTCACGTAACACGAGATCCGAGAACTGTAGCCAACTGTCAGTTTTTGTTGAATGGAAAGAACGATTTCGTTTTCGTTCACAATCACAATCGATAACCAGCAGAATCGAATAGAACTGAATTTTAAACGGAAACATTTTGACCTGGGACATCACATCACTAGTACATAATCTTTGGATTTTAACAGATAAAAAAATTGAATGTCTGAAATCTTGAATGTGCTATATTTTAGGCGATTTTATATGATTTTTTATGCGTATAGTTTTGTTTATACCGTAAAGTGTTCAATTATTTTTTGTAGTAACGAAGAAAAAATAGATTTTAACGATATCAATCACGGTATGTATCTTAAATTTCGTAAAATGTAATTTTCGTTTACAGACACGCATAGTTAAAATATTCTAATTTACAGATATTTGAAAGTGATAGCATGAATCCGTGTTCTGATGCTGCTCCTCAACATGATAATGAGGGTGATGGTCGATGGAACAGTATTGTAAGTTTCTCTAATGTTTATCACAGCTTTATTATAAAACTTCCGTGGGATTTCTTTTAATTAAATATATGTCTAAAGTGCAACGAAGCATAATAAAGTCTATTTTTAATGATTTGAAAAAGTGTTACAGAATAAAATTTTAATGAATCGTAATTTTTCACATTCCAGCATAATAGGTTTTTGTCTGATGCAAAGGGGAAAGAAGCTGATGTAGTATTTATAGGTGATTCTATATTGCAAGCTTTGGAACACACTGAAGTATGGAACCAATGGTTTGCTCCTCTCCATTGCCTTAATTTTAGTATCCATAGAGATCAAACTCAAAATGTTTTATGGCGCATCAAAAATGGAGAGCTTGATCATGTTGATCCAAAAGTATGTATAGGAATTTCTTAGGTGAAGTGCTGACTATAGAAATAATGTTTGATTGTTATATTGTGTAAATTTCAGGTTGTAGTATTGCATGTTGGCACAAATAATGTTGATCATTCTGCTGAACAAATCTGTGAAGGAATCCTTGAAATTGTAAGAACAATCCGAGAGAAACATCCAAATGCATATATTGTCTTACCAGTGAGTATAAAAAATTATAAAACAAATTGTGTTAAAAAAAAACTTAAAATATTGTTTATTTCAGAGCCTGTTACCTCGGGGACAATATCCAAATTGTTTAAGAGAAAAAAATTCCAAAATTAATCAACTTTTACGTGAAAAAGTCATGAACATGAATAAAGTGGAAATGGTATTTATAAACAAAGGTTTTATTCAAAGTGATGGAAGTATAAGCCACCATGACATGCATGACTATTTAATACCAACTAACACAGCTTGTCGGAAGGCATTTGAGCCTATATATGATCTGCTCCAACAAATTCTATCAGAGAGTGAACCGGAAAAGGACTTAACACCTTCGGAATGAGAAGATTCCAGTTCTGTTTTTTTATTAAGCTCATTGTGATGGAATTGTAGTACTTACTTTTAGCTTTTTTTACCTTAGGCTTAAGCATCTAATGAACTTTAGTTGTAATCTTGCATTAATTTAAAACATTCCAAATTTAATAAGTTAACATCAAAGATATAAATATAAGAATTGAGCCTTGTTAAAACAAATCTGGGACATATTTTTAATGATATAAAATCATGTTCTATTGAAAACATATCGAAACTTTTATAATAAGCTGCATTGTAACATGCTCTTGTGCTATTATTTATTTATAAAATGCTTAGAAGCATTTATATAAGTGTAAAAATTCTAATATACACATGCTAAGGACCTATTATCTATATATTTATATCTTTGGTTAATGTAAATTATTTGGCTGTGTCCCAATAATAACAAATTGTGCTTAAAGGTGAACTGAAGACTTTTTTATTAATATAATAGATGGCGCTTTCTTATTTACATTACATACAGTGAACTTACAACTATTCATGATAATAAAGTTTTAGAGGATTATTGAGGCACAATTCTAGTCTTTTTCTTCTTGGAAAAGGATGGGAAATTGCATTCATTTGTCCCAGAAAAGGATAAGACGGTGAAATATCCCTGTGGTAGGGCAAATCCTCTCATTTCTTTGAATAGAAGGCTTCATTTAATCAAGGGATAAGCATCCGAATTTATTTTGATTTCAAATTGCTCATTAATATTAAGAAATTATTGCTTAAATATTTAGTATTTATTATTTAATGGTGCAACATGTAAAGAGTGCAGTAACACTTGTATTATTAAATTTGCACATCACATTGAAATTTGGTATCGCCAAAGATTTTTATTATAATTTAGCCAAAGTTTCTAAGTGAAAATACACTTACATTAGACTAGTTTTAACATTATTTTGTATACTATAATATTTATTTGTCAATCAAGATTACTTACGGTGAATTTTCAATAAAATTGTTAGTACATAAGGCTTTATAATTACAGGAGAATTGTGTAACGGTCTTCTCAAAGTAGCAATTAAATGCATATTATTTTCTAACTAGTATTTTAATATTAGTTGATATAATGTACTCAGGTTGCCAAACATGTTGCTTGAATCTCTGATGTGATTATTTATTTGCATAAAAAAAAGCTTGTGAGTAAACAGTGCAATTGTTTCTTTGAAGTTGTTTTATTTAAATCTTACTAACTTATAAATGCATAAGTTTAGACCGACGATTGTTTGTTAGTAGGTATCTCCAGAATGGTTGCATGGATCTCGCTGAAATTTGGTATAGATGTAGATCACAGTATGGAAGAACACATAGGCTATTAAATAATTTTTCTAATATTATAAATGCGGAAATTTTGATAAATGAACGGATGGATGTTAAACTGAACATATTTTGCTGAAATTTGGCATAATCATTGAACATAGGCTACTAATTAAGTTTTTTCTTTGAGATGTGAACGACAGCTATTTCTATATAAAAGTCCCAATAATAAGGCTTATTTAGTTCAGTAAATATCACTAATGTACCCACTATTGTAACAAACAGATCCTCAATTCCTACAGTTGCGAATTTTTCTTTAAGGTAGTTTCTTATTTTTTAAATAACTGGATCTTTTTACCTATTCTAGTTTATTTAGGTAAATTAAAAAAAGGTTTTATATATATATTAATTTATTATGGAATAATTATATTTACAATTAATATTTATTAACCAATCTATTATAGTAGAGTTTGAAAGGTAAAGTCGCATTACCTTGATGTAATGATTTGTCAAATATATTGAAATTATTCTTCTGCAGTTTGTTCAAGTAAAAGTCAACAGCAGTTGCTGGTAGAAATATTTGATTTGTTATTTTTGGTGTTTGAATTTTTCTTGCCTAAAATTAAAAAAAAATATGGGCAAATTTAAAAATGTTATAAATGCGAATGTTTAGATGGATGAATGAATTTTTGTTTGAAGGTATCTCCAGAACGGCTGTATGGATCTCACTGAAATTGGGCATAGATGTAGGAACAGAGTCTGGAAGAACACATAGGCTACTAATTAGGTTTCCTTTTAATTCCGCGCGGACGGAGTTGCGGGCGACAGCTAGTAGTTAAATAAAATTAGGTCATATATTTAATGGAAGTTATCTTTCTTTTTTTTAATTCCTTAGAAAGTGTTACCTTTTCTAAATGACTATAAGCTCTACTGGCAACTTCAAATACAACATTTCTCATCTCTTCACTGTCTTTCTCCCTCAACACCTCTTCCTGACTGAGTTTGTTCTTCATCAGAATATCCATAGGTAGAGTTACCATTTTATGATGATTTGAAACATGGACTGATCTGAAAACAAAGAGAGTGTTTATATTAAAAATGCAGTGGCAACAATTTCAAACATATGAAGTTATATGAAAGCGGTCACATGTGTCTAGCAACAAAGCTCACAATTTTAGCATCATGTCGAGCAAGTTTAACCAGTTTGAACTGATGGAACAGTGACATGTAAGTATAAACATGTTCAAACTCTTAGTATAAATACATTTTACCTATCTACACTAATATTATAAAGTGGAAAGATATACATATTTCTCTATTAATGGAATGGTAAATTATACGAAAATACAGCCTGTATTTAATGATTTTATAAAAGGTTAAAAAATAAATATTCAGATAGCATGTCTAGCCAAGAAAAGCTGCAAGAGATAAAATTGTATGTTTTAAGATGGTTAAATTACAATAAATACCTTAGTATATTAGTTAACCCTTGTGATTTTCCCAAGTGTGATGCAGCATGGTCTGCATGTATATCAGTTACTCCGGCAACGGCAAGCAGCAGGTGATATATTGAGGACACTGTATCATCAGCATATTTTTCAATGTCTTCTAATGTTCTAAAGTACCTTGATTTTAATAAACTGCTTCTTGATAACACTAGCTTCTCTAAATGTCTCTTTGGTAGATTATAACATTTACATATCTGAAATTTTATGTATATTGTTTTCATTTTCAGTTCAATTATGTTATGTTACTTAAGATTATTGATTTTGATTGTATGTTTTTTGCACTTAATAAAAGCTTTTTCTTTTTATTCTTTTTAGTATTGAATTCATTTATATAGAAGTTGAAAGATCTTTTCTATGTTATAATCCAGTTCCCCGTCTTAGCCTTTGGTGACATCTCACGTATGAATGAAATGCAAAATATTATGATTAAGAACTATCTTATATGGGATTATGGTATTACAAGGATCAAACTGGCCCAATTGCGAATATTACTTTGGTCTACTACTATATAAAATTTAGGTTTTATACCTTAAACAATTCTTTTGCAACAGGATTGGCAGGTATATTGCTAATATTCTGTTCCTTTTTATAGATGTCATTTAGTATATCCAGCCAGAAATGAACTCTGAAAGCTGCCGTCTGTGGATCACTCGTTTGATCCTGAACTCTTGCCACTTCAACATTAAATGCTCTTACAACTAATGCAGGTGTGCGAATTGCTTTTGTCATAAGCAGAGTTGCCAAAAAGTTTTCATAGTCGTGCTGCCTACCTGTAAAAAAATACAAAGTACCAGAACGTAATCTAAGATGTGCACACATAAATGTTAAAAGGTTTAACAGAAATTTACTTTACAACATTGCTGCAATAAATTAAGCCATTTTTACTTGCTGCTACGTCACTACTATTGCTTCGTGTAAATCCAGACACTATTCTGAACGTATACTTGAAATGCTTAAACATTTTTTTGCAAGCAAACGTTACTGTTTTGAATTTATCCAATAAATTATATTGTTTGAAAATTAAACATTCGCTCTTTTACTACTATGACATAACATTTCTGACATTGACAGTGACTATGACGTTTTAAACTGACTATTGCCATATTTGAAACCGAACAAGCTTATACGAATACACGATTTCGTTTGACCAATGAGAGAGCGGCAGGTGCACGGTTTAATATTGCCATTTTCATAATTTTTAAATTCCGTAAAAAGATCACGCAAGATGCTACGTGTTTCTTAATTTGCTAATGTATCCTTTATACAGATAGGAATAACTACGAGAACTCAGGTCATGTCAGGACGACGATGTGGTCAGGACGAATTTCAGAGTTCTGCCAAAAAACCTAGAAAATTTACGAACATACGCATGTCGTAATATACTTCATATTTTTTTTAGTAAAGTATTTTTTTTAATATTATATAATACGGTACTAATTACACCACCTTCTTACAGTGATACAAATCGACACTGGACAGTAAATAAGTTATCAGTAAACAAGGCCTAGTCACCTCTAATATAGGGTAGACACTAGCCACTCAATGAACACACGTGGATATGTGCGAGTTGTCGATGAAAAGTAGTAGTACATAATGAAAAAGAAGTAGAGACGGTATTTATTACAAGGTCTGAGGCAGCCAAGTTTGCCAATTCTACTGCAGCCAATTAAATACGTAGAAAAAATGTATCTATAAGAGAAATTTTATTGCAGTAGTACATTTAATAACAATTATAAAGTTTGTTTGCAGCAATTGAAAATGGCAAGCGTGTATCTGAATTCGCCAAAACAGCGAAGTCGCCGCTGCCCACAGACTTTCATATTTGCAGATGCGTTGCCCACTTTTAAACTACATAGTATGGGATGAACAACAAGTGAATATTTCCACTTCTTCTGCGACCTTCTTTTCCCATCCCTTCATTACAAGAAGACGGTGGGAAGAGTAAGAAGACAGTATGGGGCTTCCGGAACACACACTCATGGATGAGTGTGGGCGACTTTCTTTGGAAAGAAGGACTTGCTTCGACTTGACCACACACAGAAGACACGCTGTGTGATCGCAGTGTTGCACTGGGCGAGCCGGCCAATTCGTGCAACAATTATTGTTGCTGGCTCTACCAATGTTAAATGAAACGTATGAATGTAGTCAGTAATTTGAAATTGGGTCGCGCCGACCTTCACCGCCTGAATACCGGTTTTTGAAGATAACTAAAAATTCTACTAACATACTAAAAAAATATTCTCCTCTTTCTTAATCTCGCGAGCAAACAACATAAAATAAAAATAAAGTAACTCTTCGAAATAAATCAATTTAATAAAATGCAAGTGAATATAGAATTTGTGTGACTATTTAAATAACAGTGATCGTAGCTATGGGGATGTAAGTACCTATTTATTTATTACTAAAAATTAAAGGAATATGGAACAGATTATAGTGGTCGGATTTGCACATAAGTAACAGATTTTCAAGTCCAAAATAAATAGTTACATACGGGGTTACGCAATCTTAGCAATTTTTTTATCCAGTTAATTACAAAATTAACCTTTATGTTTCATAGGAAAAATACAAAAGTATCTAAAAATACACGTAAAAACTCTTTAAGATAATTTTCACCGACGGATTGTAAACTAAGTGAATTTTAATTCACTAAGTTACCTTCACTACAGTGCTTATCACTAACTTATTGCATATCGTAAAATTACCATGATTACCAAAATTATTACCACGCGTATTAATTAACTTTTGGATAAGCGGTTTATATAAAAAATAAGTTTAAAACAAATAGGTCAAACTGTATTTATAAGTTGTTAGAAAAATATGGTTCTTGAAAAAGAATTACAAATATATAGACGCCTGGCTGTATCATTTATCACAGATTACGTCTGATAGGTTAATGCGGGACATACATATGTGAAAACCCACAATAACATTTAAATTTCTTTGTGTAAATGGTACCAAAATATTTGCAATCTTAATCAAAACAAGCAGTTATCTTACGCTAATTTTCTGGCTCGCTTCCACTTTTAGAAAAGATTTTCATCTCCGTCCGTCCGTCTCATGACAAAATTGTATACGCAGTTTTAGAAAATGCAAGCAAGCAAAAAGTTATTATAACTAACCAATGAACCAATGAATATTTAAGTGTACTAAAATAAATCGGCTCGATAGAGATTACCTCATGTGTATAACCGCTTTAGCATACGATTTGCGAGAGTGTTCCAGAAACCGCGACGCAAAGGGTCGAAGAAATCGATCTGTTTTCATGGAGGAATTAACGTTTGGCTACTTTAGTGAGAATTGAATTATTGAACTGTAAATTTAGTGCTTAAATAAATTATGAAATGTTTAAAGTATATAAGTTTGATTTAAAATTAATAAACAATTTTTCTTCAACAAAATACACACATTCATTAGAGGCTTACATGGAATTTTGTGGGTGATGTCTTGTCTATATGGTGCATAATGAGATGTATTGTAAACTTCAATAAATACTACGACGTATGTGGTGTTATTCGCAAGGGTGGAATGTCTAAATAAGTTGTTCCACTGTCGTCATCTCATATACATTTTAAAACCAGTTCCACGGCTCTAGAGCCAGATCGTCAAACGTTAGTTTCCGTACAAAACTGCTGCGTATCGAAAGGCGAGCGGTATTCTCGATTCAAGTTTAAGTATTGTCACAGCATTCAATATTCCGCTAGATTTGTGCCCATGTCGCAACGTGGACGACGGACTCAAGAATGGGATGTGCGCGCTTCGACGCTGGCTCGCAATACCCATAACCTGATCAGAAGTATCGTGGAGAACCTTACAGTGGAACCCAATCCTAGCAAGCCATTCATCGCTCTTTCTGTTGGTAAGTTTCACTTGGTATTTACAAAACAAGTTTGAAAATTTTATTAGAAGTGAAAATTGACGTTTTTTTTTTAATTTTTAGTTTTGTATGGGTGTTGTTTGAATGATTTTAAAATTAAATAGAATATTATCTACGTACAAGCTAAATTTTAATTTCAGCGATAATGATCGTTTCTCTCAATTGCTCGTGGTTTTTTATTTAATGAAACAAGATATTATTTTAAATACGAACTGGTAATTAAGTCAAGGTCAACTGGATTTAGATGTCGCAATATTTTCTTAAGTGAAAAAATTAAAGTTTAACATAATAAATTAATAAAAATAAATAAAATCAGTTAATATACACATTATAAGGTAAAAGAAATTAAAAAAAATTGATATAGTCTATTGCTATTGCAAAACTGGCTAGAACGATCCAGTGATAACAAAATATGTCTTGTTTTTGAATGCGTTATTTTTGTTTACAACTATTGCATACCTGTTTGTTTTGTCGTCTAAACTTGTTTGGTATTGCATTTTATGCACCTTTTGCAATAATACGTCGGCTTTCTACTTTACTTTTTTATATGTAGGATAGTGCTTTTAGAAACTAATCGAAGGAAAATTATATTTTTGTCATTCTTTTTCATGAAAATATTACGTAAACCAGAATTAATTCGCGATTACAATAAACAAAACTAGTATCGAAGAAAAAACATTTTTTAATTTGTTAGCTGTAATTGACAATTTAAAAAAAAAACCTTTTAATACCCCAAATTAATATAAGATTAAAATCAAAAGTTGCATATGAATATGTGAGTTTCTTACTGTAATCAAATGACTTTTTAGACTATTCACAACTGACACACTATTTTTCTTTTACGCTAACATAATTATATAATAAACATGTTAAAATAGATAACAACCTGGAAAACAAAGCAAGCAAAGAGGAATATTCCTATTCTAGGTTTCCATTATTGCAACATTCTTCGATAAAAAAATATTTCAACGAAATAGCCATTATATTCGTTCCATAGACTACGAGAAAAATGGCTATTTCTCGTAGTCCATGGCGTAGACATTATGTTTTTTTTTTTAAAACTGAGACAAAACTGAGATTGTTTCAGCAACGATTTATCATATCATTTATGAGGCATCTAGCCAGCCTGCAAAGTGGTACTACATTCTCATTATTGAAAATTATAAATAATCTTCATGCTAGAATCTAGCCTGAGTGTAATTTTTGCGTCATTTTAATAATGAGATCGTTAAAAAAGCAATTTCGATCTCCATGGCATTAAGGTTCACAGAAAGCAAAATGTTCTCGTAGCTTACTACAAGTAAAACATCGTATTCTATTTTTAATACATATATTAGAAAATATTTGAACAGATTGATGCATAGACCCTTAAAGGATATATTTGTGAAGATGTTTAATTACATCTTCAAGCGTTACAATCAATAAAATCATATCATTTGATCCTCCTTTAATTATAACATTCAAAAGCTACTAAACGGGTCTCAGAATTAGTGACTGCGCAAATGTATATGTAAATAATATCTGGTTTTATCAGGCGATCCGACGACTTTTGGCAATTTGAATCCACCGGAACAAGTGTTGCAAGCGGTACGTGAGAGTATCGAACTTCATACAAGTCGGGGCTATGGTCCCGCTAAGGGTCACCAGGAGGCTAGAGAAGCAGTGGCAGAGTACAGCGCACACCAGGGCAATGTGACCGCAGAAGATGTGATACTCTGCAGCGGATGTTCTCATGCCATCGAATTGGTGATATCAGTACTCGCAGACTCGGGACAGAACATTCTTGTACCAAAACCGGGGTTTATGATTTATAAAACACTAGCTGAAGGATTAGGAATAGTTATAAAATATTACAATTTACTGGTAAGAATATTTTATTTTTCTATTATTACACATAAAGTAGAGATGAAACAGTTGAAGTAAAGTGTTACCATAGACAATAATCACAAGGTGATAAGGTCGTATATTCGAGCTAGATTCAAACTTTAGTTTCTATTTGTCGACAATGTTAAAAGCTCTTGACCGTTGGAATATTCCTAAAAAAATGCATTTGAAGTGTAATGTTGGGTAGCAATGTTCCAAAATAAGGAAACATTAGGTCAAGTTTGTTTTTGCGGAAGGCCCAATACAAGTGTTTATTTATTTGAACACCTTTTTTTTCTTATTCCTATTTTATGGAGATGTAAATCAAAATATTTACGTCATTCATACACTTTCGTTTATGTTTGTGCGGACGCTCCCATAATATTAAGGAAATAACATAAAGCACACTTAACTTTTAAAAAGCTACATATTTTCCTAACACTAAAAAACAAGAGATCTGAATAAATTTATAAATGTGTGTAAACAAAAACATGTTATGTTTTTGTTGTTTGTCTATTCATGTGATCAGTACTTGAGTTGTTTACATGATTCATATTTTCAAATGTTTATTATGATTTAATAAGTATTCAACAACTAAGTATATTCACAGTCGTGTTATATTTTTAATGAAAACTTTTGCTTTTTGTTTTATTTGTAACAAAAAAGTTATTTAACCATGATCTGATGGAAGTTATGAGTTTTTCTTTCATGCGTTGAATAATTAAAAAAAAAAGGAGATGTTTAGGTAATTATTTTATTTATTTTAAAATCCAGGGTTTCGTCGAGGCTCGAAGTCAGTTTAGGGTTATATTTAGAATCTTAGGAGTTAAGTTTAAATTTAAAATAAAATTAAAAATGTATTTTTTCGATCAATAAAAGTACTTTTAGATCGTAACCATATTTGAATGTTGGAAAACAAATTATTTTATTAGGAGTTCTTTTTCTTATGATATTAAATGTCCTCTTACATGTGTCTCAGTTATTCGATGTGTTAAAGTTATGAACAAGTTTCTAGAAACAGAACGAGTTTCCAGTTTCTTGTGACATATATTTGCATATTGGTTATTATAATTTGATTCTGAACTACGCAAAACCTCGCATAGAAATTATGTAAAGTTGACCTATTTCTTACAGCCAGATAAGCAGTGGATGGTTGATTTGGATGACTTGGAAAATCAAATCGACGAGGACACAGCCGCTATTATAGTTATAAATCCATCGAATCCTTGCGGTTCCGTATATAATAAGGATCATTTAAATGACATATTAGATATAGCATCCAGAAATCGTGTGCCTATTATAGCAGATGAAATATACGAGCATTTTGTGTTTTCGGGCAATGAATTCACAGCTATAGCTTCACTATCGAAAGATGTCCCTGTTTTAACTTGTAGCGGACTTACAAAGCGGTTTTTGGTGCCCGGTTGGCGATTAGGATGGATTATAATACACGATAGACATAATATCTTAGGGAAAGAGGTGCGAAATGGCTTGGCTAACCTGGCTACGAGGATACTCGGCCCCAGTACACTAATACAGCGCGCTCTGCCGGCCATATTGAAATATACGCCGCAAAGTTTCTTCGATGAAGTGATTCTATTTATTGAGGTGAGTGGAAGGTTCCATGAGACAACTATTCCGGTATGTAAAGTGATAACATGACATTGTATTATTGGTTTATATATAAAATAGTTTTATGTATATAGATTTTATTTTGTTTAGTTATGATGTCACTTTTATTATGTTTTACTTACTTTTATAACGTTGATAGAAATAAGATTAGGGCAAACGAGGGAACAACGAGATGATTATCTTTATATAAATTATTCATATTTCACTATTTTTTTTTAGAATCAAGCGAAAATGGCATACGAAGAACTCCTTCGGGCGCCAGGACTGCGCCCCATTATGCCACAAGGAGCAATGTATATGATGATAGAAATCAAAATATCGCATTTCCCTGAATTCAAGAATGAATTGCAATTTGTAGAGCGAATGGTATCTGAACAATCCGTGTTCTGTTTACCTGGCAGGGTATGTTTTATTTTATTAATAAAGAGGTTCCGAATATCTAAGAAATAATAATTGAGTGCTATTTGAATAATGATATTTCTTTTTCGCAGTGTTTCGAGTATCCCAATTTTATGCGGATAGTATTAACTGTGCCGGAAGATATACTCCGCGAAGCATGTCAGAGATTGGTGATATTTTGTAAAGAACATATTGATATAGGAGAAAAATGCAAGGAGATAGACAACAATATCATACCAGTGACTAACGAAACCGAATTTATTTGTGATAATTAGATTTATACAAGTTTCTTTTAATCAATTTGTTAATAAAACATTAATAAATTACAGTTTTTTTTTAATAACATTGAAATGAGTAAGTGGCCACCTCAATTCGCCGATGTCTGCAATTGTAGATCCATTGCCTATCTTTATTCGACGGAGGCACAGAAATCGGATATTTCTCTTACCTAAGTGTCCCTTCTCTATCATATTAACTTCCCCTTCCCATCTATTCCGTATAAAAAAAGGACAAGGGGACTAAAATTAGGCCTCCGAAATGCACACTCATCAGACGAAACGCAGAATTACTCCCACTTCACGCCTGCTTTCTGTGTGGTCGTGGCACCGGGCAAGCCTGCCCAGGTGTGCAACAGACATTTGCACGATTTGTTAAACAAATACATGTACAAAGTATTAGCTTATTAATACGTATATCTTCTTATTAATAATTGTTATCTACGCGATTTGTACCTAAACAGTTGTAAGAATTTCGAGAGTAATAGATGGACTATTCCCAAAAAGTTTAAGTTTTTTTTACCTATTCTGTGATTCTTTGTGACAAATGGCAACACTGTCTTTTTTACTTGCTGTTATTTGACATTGACAATTGCGTTTGCTCCATTTCGATTTGTGGTATTTGTAGTCACGATTTTTTTCCATTTAAAATAAATAATATATTCCACTTAAAATGTCGCTAACAAAATCAAACAAAAAATTCAAATGGGCACTTGACTTCAATCCAAAGTAAGTTACTAATTTTGAATAGTATAGTGATAATTTGCAAATCGATATTAAGTTTACTAATGTCTTCACAGATCTCGTACTTCAGCGAGCGATCTGCCCTCACCTCCTGGTTACAGCCAGTCCACAAATGCCAATTACACGGAATCATCCAAAGAAACGGATTCTAATTTATTACTCATCAAAAAACTTTGGGATGTAGCCCTTGGGCCTTTGAAGCAGGTGCCTATGAATCTATTCATAATGTATATGGCTGGGAACTCCATCTCTATATTTCCTATAATGATGGTAGGGATGTTGATTGTTCGTCCTATAAAAGCTTTGTTTAGCACACAAAGCACTTTCAAGATGGTTGAAGGAACACAAGCAGCCGGTCAAAAGTTTGTTTATTTTATCGGCAATGTTGTGAATATATTACTTGCTCTTTATAAATGTCAGAGTATGGGATTATTACCAACACATTCCAGTGATTGGTTGGCTTTTGAGGAACCACTAACAAGAGTAGAACATATTGGAGGTGGTATTTCTATGATTTAAAAAATAGACTATGTAAACATATTGTTTATTTAAATTATTGTTAACTAGGACTATTAGGGTAAGCGGTATTTACAATAATAAAATGTTTAATTTAATTCATTGTCTATTACATTTTATTGCCTCAACCTGTTTCAATCATTTGTCTTTTTTGGTGTCAGACAAATCTCCTAGTTTGGATTTGATGAAGTCTTGTGCTTTGTCCAATAATACCTTAGGATTTTCTACTTTGTCAATCTGAGAACAAAGTAAATTATAATTATTAAATCATTTCTATATGATAAAGAATATTTCCTATTCTTAACAGTTGGCAAACAAGAGTGATTTGAAAAACATGTTAATATGTGTTGCATACATTTCCGTATGACGGTTTTGAATACTTTAAAAAAGGTTTATTGGAAACATTATAATAGAGAATTTAATTGTTTTTATTTAAATCAAAATTATAGATAACACTACACTACAAAAATTTGGAGAAATAAAACACAGAAAAACTGTGTGAACCAATAGTTCCTGGTTAAATGTTACAACCAACACTAGTTCTACTGTTGGAATAAATCAATAAAACAAACCATCTTTTTTGCCAAGAGCCTTTCCACAATCTTTTATGGCTTTCTTACAAACAAATGAAACTGCACCCTGTGTTCAGAAAATTATTGCAAGGAGGTATTAGTATGTTATTTTCAGAAGAATTTAACAGAAGAGGCCACACCATGAAGTTTTTTAGCACATTGAACCAGGAACAATGCAAATTAATTATAAAGTTTCATACATTTTACAAAACATTGATTTCTATATACATACAAAAGGCATGACCTCTTATGCGATCACTTTTAACAATCATTTCAATTTTGAAAGGAAAATCTGTGCAGAAATAAAATTTCTTAAGCAGTTTTGATTTATTGACCAACTGAAGCACAATGAATACCGTGGATATGTTTCTCCATTTCACTATTATTACCTGTAGCCTACAGCTTTAATTTAGTAGTGAAAGAAGTCATTAATTTTTTTTTTCATAGAGGTTTTAAATTAATTTCAATTTTCATAGACCTAAAGATGTTCTTTACATTTTTAAATCAGCTGACCTTGTGTTAAAAAAATTAATATGGCCAGTACTAAAGTTTTAGACAATACAATTGCGAGACAATGATAGTAATCTTGATATGGTAACAAAACTAAGGTTTACCTGATAATTTTGTGCTATATATACACCGGCGTAGACACCGGTGCCAAAAATAACCTGAAAAAAATATTGTACAAATGAAATAAGTAAACAACTGCCCATTATTTAGCTTCTGACAACACAATAATAAAAGATAAAATGAATGATAGATAGTTGTCTGATATAAAGATTATGGACAAAACTGGCTTGTTATATGAACTCCAAGACTAATTTTTAAATTGACAGTGTTCATATCCCAACTTCACTTTAAAAATATGTTGTTTGATTTTATAGCTTAACATATCTGATACTTTGTTTGTTGTTACATGAGCTAAAGTTCATTTAGTAGGTTGGTACAGAGAGGTATTAATAACAAAAGGTGATCTAGTGATCAAATGTCAAATAAGTACATTGCTTTGCTGATTATTTTACAAATTACTTTTAAGAATGTTATACCATAGTAATAATGAGAGTAAGCAATTAACATTGATGTCATTTTAAACTTTCAGAAATTACACAAAACTTTAGATAATATTTTAAAACATCTAAAATGTGAAACATAATTAATTATTGAGTAATTTAGACTTACAGTAGTTTTAAATAGAGACCAGTAACAGGCTATCCTTTTGATAGCCATAATTTTACGAAAATTGACATGATGATAAATGAATTAATTTATGTACTATCACTTTATATTGTATTGCTATAATTATAAAAAGTTTGCTTGGTTTAATTCTACCAAGCAAACTTTTAAAAAATAGACAACCTAATAGTTACATCTTAAGCAACATAATGATAATGAAACTGTCATTTTGAGGTTTTCTATTTTTAAAAAATTGAAAGAACTTACACAACAACAAAAGAGTTTTTATAACAAAATTCGTAAGTCAGATTAAAATTTTATAAGAACTATAATGCAATTTAGCTGCCTAAGATGTCAACTTTATCTTTATTTAGAACAAAACGAGTGAAATACAAGCAATATTTATGTAGATTCCGTAACAATGTAGGCACCAAAAAAAACCTTTGTGTACCAATAACTATAAACGTTACTCACCACTCCTTTCAACATTTTATATTTCAGATATATAGCAGTTTATTTGATTACTTTCAATATCAAAAGAGATATTTGATGTCTCTAGATAACAATAATATTTTAAACTGCAGCGAAAGTAAATTTTGAAGTTTTACCTTTTACATATTGACATTGATAGTTTGACATTGACAGTAGCCTACCGGATGCAAAAATAAAAATAAATATCTTTGAAAAGTATGGCAACACAAGTGGATATGTGCTGCCATATTAAATATGTACTTACAAGTAAACTTTTCAAACACTTTAAAGATAAGTTTTCAATTAATTATAAATAATCCAGTTAAAATGATTTCGTAATATTGTGGTGAGGGAATATATAATATTGTTGATAAAAGAAATATTAATTTTCAGATCAACAGATAGTGATATGTTCAACTAATTTTGTTCAATACCAATGACCAACAGATTGAACTTGATTAATTCTATTGATTGATTATAGTGCTTCCTTTGCTGATTGGAAACGATGTAAGTTTAACTTGTTTGGGAGAGACTGGTGCAGTGAAGCTGCCGCTTAGTAGGACCATAGACTGTTTATAAGTACATTTAGTTTAGGAACTAACGTATAGAAGGTAATTCCTAACCATTTATCCATTATAGAATGTGTGGAATTAAATTTTCATGAGGATTATTCAGGTACTTAAGAGAAGGGTATTATAGTATCGGACCAGTAAACCTATTTAGTAAATATATAAGGCGTTGTCTTTCTCGATATGTCGATCGATATTTATTTGCAAGTAGGTTATAGGAAAACAAGTATTTGTATTTTTCGAAACATTTTATTACAAATTTAAATTTAACAACTACAAATAAAATCCTTTCATAATTCTTTTACTTGCATGCATTTTATAAATACAAAATATAAGAAATTAAAAAAATATAAAATAATTATTTACAATAAATGTTGTGGTTAAACAAATATACTGAAAAGTATAATGTAGGTAGTAAGATATCGCAAGATATGCAAATGGAAAAAATTGACTAGGTCAAATACCGCGGAGAGTAAGCTATTTTGAAAGAAAATACATTGAAAAAGGTACAAATACAGAATTAAATACTTGAACATATCAAAACATAACACTTTGTATACAGAATAATATTGATTTTTAATCCTGCGGTTTACCTTTAACTGTTTCGCTATTCTCTGAGCTGTATCATAAAGTTAAAAACAAAATGTTTCAATACAAATAAATGAATATGTTCATAATCTAAAATATTTTTCAACCATCACTACGCAGATATGCATCCTATTTCTAATTTTCTATCTTAAGACACTTTTAACAATTATTAATTCGAAGTTTATTGCGAGTTTTTCTTTAGAACAAAACAAATAATAGTAAGATAACTCACAAAGATTTAATCTGTGGTAGACGCCACAACAATATGAATTGCACGAATTGGCCACCTCGCCCGGTATACTACCACGATCAAACAAAAGATAGGCATCAAGTGAAAGCAATACGGCGTTTCGTCTGAAGCGGGTGTGTGCCGTAGGCTTAATTTTAGTCCCCTTTCCCTTCCCAACCTTTTCAAAGGAAAAGTAGATTTTATGACGGAGTGGACATAAGAAGGTGTATTATTATCTTTCTGTGCATCCCCTTTTCCGTCGATTAAACGTAGGCAACGCACGCGCACTTTCGGATGTCTATGGACAGTGTGGACACCTTCTAGTATATTATAAAAAAAATAGGAAAACGATGTATTCCATTGATTGTAATGAAATTTATCATTAGCGAGAATTGTATCACTTAATAAAGTACCTTATAAACTACCAGGAGACTTATTACTACAGTAATAACGTTCATATAAATGTTTAAAAATATCGTTGGAATATTAATATTATTAAATATAATTTAATAATATAATATATGGAATGTGTTTCTCATATAAATTATGCAATTTCTTATTGCAATAATGATTATACAACTAATGATTCACTCATCTAATGCAACGTAAGCTTTATCTTTCATTAAATTATTATAATTTTTTTTATTAATAATATTTATTTGATTTCAGAATAAGTAGTAAGTTTGGAACAATGATAAAATAATGTATTCAAAAGATCTTGCTTTTTTTTCAGTTTCCAGTTGGATAGTCGCGAAATTTAATGCCCTGTGTCTACTTTGTATCACCAATTAAAATCAAAACATAACCTAACTTATTGAATAATATTCGGAACTTAACTATATTTGAACTAACAATATACAAATTGAACAACCATGAGTAGGTACCTTAATAGAAATATCACAATACGAATGTACTTTACTTGTTATTTTGTTCATTGTTCCGAACTTCTAAATAGATACTGTATGGAATCTTCGTGCAGAGCTATCATGAGCATAATAATACCTCCGGTGAGTATGCCGAGTACCGCAAAGAATAAGTTTAAAGCTTTTCCATGATTGTTTTCGTTAATTTCAGGAACTAAGTCGGCAAGGGCTATATAGAAGAATGTTCCCGCTGTAGCCGCGTATATCCATTGCGATGCTGATTCGTGGTCTTCCGCTAGCCAGATGCCGCCAGCCATTCCCATAAAACTCAACACCGAAGACAAAAGATTATAATAAAGAGCGCGTCTAATACTCATGCCCGAACGCAACAGAACTGCGAAATCTCCTAATTCGTGCGGCAATTCATGGCAAAACACCGCAAGGGCCGTTGCAAAACCTGTCACTGGATCTCCACTAAAGGCGGCGCCTATCGCGAGACCGTCAGTCAAGTTGTGCAGACCATCGCCGACGATCACCATGAGGGCTGTTGACGTCATGGGCCTCTCTACCGGCGGTGGAGGTGACCCAGGCATCATAGCCCCGAGCTCGATCGGTTCCGTCTGTTTGCCAGAATCCACCTTAACTTCTTCGACAGCCTTCCCTTGGGGGGCATCATGCGAATGCGCGTGCCCACCATTAAGCGTTTGCATGATAGCTTCAACCGAATAGAAAAACAGTATTGTTAAAAAGGTGACGCTGCATTTGAGTATGACTTCAGTTTCTTCTTGAGGCTCGGAGGTCGGCCCGTGAGACTTGAGGGCATGAGGCAGCAAGTGTAGCAAAGCATCACCACATAAAGTTCCCACAGCTACCGCGATTAGAAAGTGTAAAACGTGACTGAATATCGCTGATTTTAATAAAGGTACTATTGCGACTCCAAAGAGACCGGTTGCGCTGATCACTAAGATGCTTAAGCTTGCGTATATCCATGCTGAAACAGATAAAAATAGAAGGATTATGACAATGAAAGCCAAAAATGATCTGATGGAATTTATGGTCAATGATAAGTTATTCTGCTCCTCTACAGCAATTAAATACTTGAATTTAAATATTCTCGTATTCCTCTGCCTCCTTATATAGTCGTTCTTCTTTTTTCATATTAGATGAAGGTACTAAGTGTGGATAGCTTATACATTCAAAACTAACTTTACTACTACTTAACTTACTCAAATATCTTTCTTGTTTGGGCGGCGGGGCCTCAGTCTTGTAGCAGGAGCGTTGGTCGAGCTGGTACACCAGGGCTGGACACATTTCGAGGAATGTCTTCGGGTTGATAGTGATGACACCTGGCTCGTTCTCCATTCCGTAAACTTCGAGTATTTCCTTTGGCGACAGGCATGATTTCTTTAAAATCGGTTCCGCTGAAAGTAATTAAACCGTATAAAATGACGAAGATTACCCTACTCTACCCTATTTTTCTTGTTTATTAAGCTTTGATAGCTTTACTGGTTGTTAGGTTTCACTGCGGAAACATCTATATAAAATATTTTGTTATTTGTTTGTTATGGTTAGACTTAATTATGACGTTGCTTAAAACAGCACTAAAATGGTGCTACGAATATTATGCCCAACCGTAGATTTAACCGAAGGCGCTGGTTACGGTTATAGTTAGTTTTTTTTAGTCAGTTATTCCAACTCACCTTAATAAGAGCCTGAGAGGAAAATATTTTTTTTGCTTAAGTTGTTTTGGAAGGTAACAATTTACAGCTAGCCGTATTTTATAATGAAGCTTAGATTACAACAAAGTATTAAATATTTAAAAAAAACAAAATTCCTTGTTTATTTTTTTCTAAGTAGAAAATTCATGGATATTCTATATTTTATTAGGCAGTAATAATATTTCTTTTAATTCCACAACTCGCAGATGAGTCCGGCTGGTTAGAGTTGCAAGTTATAAGTACGAAGTGGATTGTTCATTCGGTGTGAGGTCGGGTCCGTAGGGTCGATGTATGTTTAATGGAGCGTCCGTCTCACCCACGGGACAATAATAGGATAATCGGTTTACAACAGCACAGACCATCCGTCTGGAGTTTTGCTTGCAGTACTACTATATATTACAACTGATAGTAGTTTACGCACGTTTATACACTTTAAAACAAAGTTCTTGTTCTCTTTTTACGGCCTAGTCTATTAGAGGTAGGTCTATTGGACTTGTAATCTACAGGTCCTGGTTAGAACCCCATAAACCAATGTGTTTATAATTGTCCGATTTTTTTACGGCGATAGAAAACAGCGTGATGCAACCTGCAAATACCTTCAACGATGTGTGTACGTAGTCAACCAATACGCATTGCGCCAGTGGGGTAGAGAAGGCTAAGACGCCCCTAAAAGAAGCTTAAATCCCTCGGCAGAGACTTGCATGTGTCTACTAAAAACTGTTTTGAAAGTTACCTAAGTATTTAAAAACATAGTTTTAGTGGATGATGAATCACCTACGTACGCTGTCAAATCTAAACATTTTTACATGACTAACTAGAACCAAACTCAAAACAACATTTTATTGTACCTTTATATATTAATCATCGCCAAATCAACGACTAATAAATGTTGTAAAACTCTTCCTTATGCCTAGTCTCAAATCTAATATAACCTCGAAAATATTTTTAAGGTTAAAGAATCTATGTGAAATTAATATCCGCCCTTGTTATGTAACATTAGAGATTTACAATGTGTGACATCAATTAGTTAACCATAAACAATTCTTGGTATTTTCCATAACACGTGTCATGACGAGAAAGCAGTTAAAATGACACCAATGGCGCTTTCTATTAAGTACTGCCATCTTGCACCACATTTACTTTCTATCCGATATAATTACTTTCCATATCAACGGATAGAGATTTTAAAGTTAAATCTTGTTAATAAATAATTGATAGTTTATACTTCTAATTAAAACACACCCTTCAAAGTTGTGTTTTGTCTATTACGTAGAAGGTACGTATGTCCAGAACGACGGCATAGTTCTGTATGAAATTTAGTATAGATGTAGAACATGGTCTGAAAGAAGATATAGGCTATGATCATGGAAATGTATATGGTTCCCGTAGGATACGTTTGGTTCAAATTATTCGATAACTGAAAAAATTTTACATATCTTATTGAAATTTGGCACAGATATGACATAGTCTCGAGTAACACATGTGATTTTCGCCCTATTATATCAAAATTCTGCACACACGAAGTTGCGGGAAACAACTGTTGGAGAATATTAGAGAAATTGCGTGTGCTATTTTGACATTTATGGTGAAAGATAGAAAAGGTAGAGAGACTGCACTGGTAGCTAGTACTTGTTATTGAAATGGTATTTAATGGAACTTTTCTAACGTCCAATGAAAGACGTTATTTTTTGTTGTGTTTCTTTTCGGACAGACACGGTCGATTCATGTAACACCAGTAATCTTTATCTACCGTATCGCGGTTAAATAAACAGCAAAAACAGACGATTATGGACGTTGAGAACGACGAAATTTCTAGACATTATAATATCACGTACTTACAAAGAAAAAATAGGAACATCGACCGCCATTTGGATCATAAATAAATTTATTAACTTGCCTTTCAACTGCCAAAAGACTTGCACCTTGCGTTAGTAAGAATTCACGACGAACGCCACCAAAAATAGTTTATTATATTCAAACGTTTTTAGTTTGATTATACTCCCTGGCACGAAATGTATTGAAAACTAATTTGCGAAGTCTTTTGTCAATAGAAACAACAAACACAGATATTTGTACACTGAATAGATAATGTGGAACGTTTTTGCTCGACTGCCCGGAAACCAGCTGTCAAAATACTTGCATTATTTAGACTGCCAGTGTTATTTGTACATAGTTAATTATTTTTTACACACCATTATAAATTAATGTTAAAAATATAGCAGAAAATAAAGCGTATGGTTAAAATATTCTATGTTTAGTGTTATTTACTTTAGGTATATATAATAATAAAGTGCTTTTACTCGACTAGGAATATTATGATTATTATTATATTACGATATTCTTATAGATGGATGTTTGTTTGAAGGTATCTCCGGAACGGTTCAATGGATCTTGATGAAATTTAGCACACACGTAAAACATAGTCTGGAAGAACATATAAGCTACTTATTAAGATTTTTTTTAATTCCGTGCGGTCAGAGTCGCTGGCGAAAACTAGTATATTATTATTAATAAGATGTAAGATGATTGAAAACGCAGGATTAAGTGTTTCAAAATAATGTTTAACATTGTATTGACATAGGCAGGTGCCGATTTATCAACAGATTCCTATTCTTTCGATTGTATAATAATAAAAATTGAGATCTCTCTAGCTCATCAATGTTGAGATCAAAATTATATAAGTTATTATGTAAGCACTACTATTAGTCACTATTGTGTTTTATATTAGTTATTTGTATTTCACTGCAGGTGTCGCTGCCCTCGACAACGGCCTATCGATAATAATTTTTGAATGAACATTGTTTGCATTCAGATCAATCGTGGTTTACAGTGACAAGACGATAACGATGGTTAAATCCTCAAATTATTCTGTATCTTCACCTCATAAAATAACTTTCACAGTTTATAAAAAAAAACGTGTTTTCTTACAACTCGTACAAAATACGAAAAAGGGCCAGGAAAACCATTCTATTTTGGAAAAACGCAAAAAAGTCAGACGTCATTTTTCATGTTTGTCTCACTGTCTCTAGGTATTGTTTAATTATTATTATATTGACGATTAACTCGTTTATTATCACTAACGAAACAATAAGCTGTACTCATTCAAGGTGAATAACGCCCTATTTGTCGGCGTTATGTAACGTATATGAAACATACTGTATCACTCAGTTATTGCAGATATAGGATGCTTTATTCGTATTTATAACTACTTTTAGACATTATTATGTACTAACAATCATTTGGCTCGAATGGCGCGCTTTCGTAACCAAGTCAAGTGTCAAATTGATTAGTGAGGGGACATAAAAGTTGACATTTGAATAAGGTAACACTACGAAGATACTCATAATAACATACTCTCTCTTTCATTTACTTTTAAAAATCAGAGATAGCAAAATCTAGAGACAGAAATCTATATTAACGGTTTATGGCAATTCCTAATCAATGTCTACTTGAGGCATAAAATGATAGAGAATTGATGAAAATAATTGGTTATCGGATAACCATAGTTCCTACTCTATGGTTAGTGTAACTAAATAAAGGCTAGCGGATATGCAGTACGGTGATCATTTACAAGGACAGTCAATGTTCAATGACGTGTTTTTATATTAGTTGCCGATTTTCAACGTTTTTTAGTTTTCCGCAATTCACCTAACTAGTTGCACGATTCAAGGACGAGGCCTTTATTGCTTGATACTTAAACTTAACACGAAATTAGTACGCACGTTTTTAATTATTTTATTGTGGAGGTCTAACCTCACGTGGGTTACAAGTTTCAACTGCCAAAACATATGTTCAAATACATTATTGTTCTGTTTTTATTTTCAACAGAACATGTTTTTGTACATTTGTTTCGACATGTATGTATGATATAAGATTACAGAATATATAAAGACAAGACCCATAGAGGGTCGGTAGCTCAGCACTTGAGCACTTGATTTGTTATCTGCAAGTTCTAGGTTCTAATAACACCAGGTACCAATCCTACGTATTTAAGGTGAAGGAAAACATAGTGATGCAATCTGCACATAACTGCAAAGTAATTGAAACATATTTGTGAAGTTCACCAACTCGCATTAGGCCAGCGTGATTGACTACGGCCTAGTCACCCCTAATTCAGGGTAGACTCCGAGCCCTTCGTGAAGACGTATAGAGAGCTGATGATGATGATAGAGCCTAGATTTACTTATAAGCTGTCGTATTATAGTATAAGATAACTAACCAATAGCAGGCGATCGTTTGTGCCTGTGTTGTGTATCGTGCAGCTGTCGGAAGGTGCCGTTCACACGGTGGATGGCCAGATCATGTGGTGATGTGAACACCCGCCCGCCGAGACCAAGGCTGTCCAGCAAATGTTCGAAACCCTGAAATATATAAAAAAGGGAACAATTTAGATGTATACGTAATAGTGGTAAAATAACTTGTAATTTTAATTTCTTTTTTTATATATACATGTTATAGCTTTATAATGTAAAGAAGCATAATTTTGCATATCAGACTACTTATTTACAAATAAAATTATTGCTTTGTATTTTATAATAGCTCTGCTTAATACTTACATAACTTAGGGTCATATAAATCACGAATATGTACCAACAAAGTTGTGTTTGTACTTATATGTTTGTATTTTTTTGTGAATCTTGTAGTGAGAATAAATAAATATTAAATATATTGCTAATGTTATAAAGTAAGTCGCAATGGTAACGTCAATAAAGTTGTTTTCAAAGCCATTAACAACAAACCAAAGTATGGTCTCCAAATAAAATAATAAATAAAATGTAATAAAATATTTTTACTAATAAGTTTGAACAAAGTCTTGATGTCTTCTTTTTACTGCGCTGAAAATCAGAAGTCGTTTATTTATGAAGATTATTGATTTTCATTTGAAAGAATAATTGGTTATCATAATTATTTTATAGCAATTACTTATCGAAATTACATTTTTTTTAAATCGTAAATAGTAATTAATTATTATTGTTACATAATAGGTTTGAATAATAATTGCGTTCTTATTAATAGCATAGAACTAATTTCTTAGAGCGATATATTTGGCGACATAGATAAAAAAAATTGTAATAGAGATTACAAATAGTTAAATGCTTTGTCATTTAACTATTTTAGTTGCAAATTATTAAATGCTTGTGTGATTATTACTATCAGTGGGCCTAGCACGAATAATTGTAACAAACGCGATCATATTGTCATAAAAATAAATCCTCTATCGTTCGTTTAGTATATAAACCAAAAAGCTTATAGTAATTCTATGATAATTACTATAACAATTGAAAGATCGTCGGTTTGTCTGTCTTTTGTCATGCGTGTCGACATTTGGTCATTACACAGTCGAATACACGTTGCCAGAGCGATTTTGCCGGCTTTGTAATTTTTGACAGAACTAAAGCTGAGTTGAATACAGATTACTTCAATTTTAAATTGCACATAATTGTATACGGTGTTGCAAATGTGTAATTTTTCTTTACCTTATTTGAATGTACATATCTTAATAAATATTTATACTCATGATTTCAAAATTATCCCCAAATTCATCGTATGAATGAGATCTACTTTAAACACCGGAAGCGATAAATATATTTGTAATGATAACGATTATCCAAATACTATAAAATGAGTAGAAGCTATAGAAGGAATGATACTTATCTTTTTTTTAATTCTCATATTGCGCAGTAATATTAAATTACATTTACGAAGGAACGAGGTGACGGAAAACATGTTGATTTAGTATTTTTAGATGATTTAAAAAAAAAGAGGCTATCAATTTGTCTGTATTTTAAGGCACTAACTACAGAACATCTACTATTATAATTAAAAAAACCAATGGTTTAGTGGAGCTGGATCTGCGGGAGCTACAAGCGATGGACTGGCAGGAGAAGGCTCAAGAAAGGCGACTTGGGCGATCTCTTGCCCACCCACTTTGGGTCGATGCGCCAGCGGAGTAAGTAAGTAATGGTTTAGGAACATCTAGAAGTAGGCATAGTATACTTTCAAGTTGTTTATTTTCCTCAGTAACGTCACGTCAATCTATTCTTGATAAATCATTCATGAACATCAGACATTTCTCTTTCGTCAACAATGTGTTTACACACAAGACGTAAACGTGACAATGTTTACAAACTCCTTTAACACTTTGTTGTATTGTATGTTTTTTGTTGTGTTCAATAGAAGAAGCCCTGAATTACTTTCTACGACCATATTTAGAATTATCAACTATGATAAATACCGGTCTTGTAGAAAATTAATCAAGACTTATACTAATTGAAAAACGAGCCGTAAAATTAAATCTCTATTTGTTACTAACTGTCGCCCACGATTCCGTACATGTGGTGTTAAACTTAATTAGTAGCCTATATGTTCTTCCAAACTATGTTTTACATCTATGCCAAATTTCAGCGAGATCCATACAACCGTTCACGAGATAACTTCAAACAAACATCAATCCAAACATTTTCATTTATAATATTAGTAATAAGTAAGAAGTAAGATATTGCAATAAAAATAATTTATCTAAAAATATTAGTTAATGATGACGTAAAGAAATTCTGGACAAACTGCCCCCGCAACGTTTTATGTATTTCTGATGCTGAAAGTTGATATACGTGTCGTCTCATACGAGAGAGCGGCCGTAAAGTTTGGATGACAGTGTAACATGAAATTCCCAGGCGGTAACGAACACGAATAGAATAGTCGCTAATATTAACGAAAATACGTTTCGTCTCGTTATAGCGGCGCGGCTTCTGGCAACGGCAACGGCGCTGTGAAAATATGTGTAATGGGTATTTTTAAGATTTCATGAGTGTGGGTGGTGATTCGTCCGTGTCTTTTACACAATCATGTAATTTTACTGTTAGACTTTTTGAAATCATATTGCCAGATATCCATGTAAGCGGATGATTAGAATACCCATTCGTTTAACTTAAATAATATTTAAAACTCTTCTGTTTTAAGAAGATTTCTAAATATAGGCGTAAAATAGATGTAATATAGCTATATTATTTATCTGATTTTTTTGATTCGATTTTTTCGAACCCAGGATTCATATAACCGCTTGGCACTTTTATATCTAGACTACGAAGTCTTTAACACGTAGTGTAAAATTAACAAGAAGGCATTACGAGACCTAATCCACGACTGCAAACAGTTCAGAACAATGCCCATTATCTAGGCTTGATTTTAGCGTTTTTTCTTCCAAGCTAATAGAAATTTTAAAAATAAATAAAAACGTTAGCCTGCACGCACCTGTTACGTATATAAACAGTACCACGTCGTTCGCAAGAAATAAATTTACCGGCGACAAGAATATTTAAAAAAATTGACAATCGAAATATGATTAACAATAACCATTATCAAACCAAATTTGTTTACGCATAAATTTTAGTAGACTGCTAAAATAATCCATCTTGATGATTAATTATGAATGCCATCTTGAAGTTATTATTCTAAATACCGTAATTAATTTATAAATTATACAGACAAAGGTATTATGTATTTAACAATAAAATAAGTAGTCAAAACAACATAAAACAGTTAATACTTACATGCTTAACGACTAAGAACTAATTAAATTTGAAAAATATTTATCTAAAGAAAGGTGATATAGGAAAATAAACGCTTAGAAATATTTCACTTTAAAACATATTGTCATCTCTGTTTTCTCAAAGAGAATGACAAGGATGACGATATATTTTATACAGAGATTTTAGTCTTAGAAACCGCAGCGGTTAGTAGGATTTTTAAATGAAGAATGGCTTCGCGCCTTTTACTATTTATTTAAAAAAAAAAGTTAAACGAGTTTTTGTCTCGTGTAATGTCAATTGAATACTGCTATAAATCGATATCCGATAATTATAACATTAATTACAGATAACAGAAGAATAAATAGTTTAAATCAAGTTAAAGTAACGCTACGAAGAAAAATATTTTATTTCGTGTTTGGTGAATGGATTTGACACATTTGTCTACTAAAATCTAGTTCTAATAATCGACTCATGTAAAAAATATTCCAATTAAGCCATAACAATAGTAATTATATTACTGAGAGTAAATTAAAATGTAAACATTAGTAATCATCGATTGTTTCGATTCAATTGAAACGTATCGCACTTCTGTTTCGCGACACGATGTCTTATTTTATAGAATTTTAAAGATAATAAACAGTAATAATAAGAGCGTCCGTGGCTCAATCACTTGACTTGCAATCCACAGGTCCTGGGTTCGTATCCCACAATGTACCAATGTGTTTTTCGGTTACCGATTTACATATGTACATTTATCCGACGTTTTTATGGTAAAGGAATTTCATTTAATCGAATTTCAAAGGTATGTGTGAAGTTAACCAACCCGCACTGGGCCAGTGAGATTGACTATGACCTAGTCACCCCTAACTTAAGGTAGGCTCCGAGCCTCGCGGTGGGGACGTATAGTAGCTGATGATTATGAAAAAATAATAAGTTACAATTCAAATAGAGAAAAATATTTACAGCGACGAAGTCAGTCAAATGTTGGTCAAAATGTGCAAATTGTACGTTTGTAGATTCGAATTATTAAAGGCCGATAAACCGCATCTTGTCTGATGTTAACTATGTTCGTGGGCGGCTTTTACTTGAGGTGAAACTCACCTCGTTGACTTTAAAATATCTATTTATATAAAGGAATCTGACTCATTGAAATATTAACGCATAGCTACGCTAAAACAATTGGTTGTTAGAACGTGAAAATGCAATAGACACTAGTATTTTTTTTTAATAAAATAAAAAATGTAAATAGTTGTCTAGACAATATTCATAGCAAACGATCGTTGTTCTTATAAATTCGCTATGTCCGCTGTCGAGAATCAAATTTGCTACTTCCTTTTCCGCAATCTACGCTCAGACGACCGTATACAATTTTAAATATAACTCTACTGGTAAACATGTCGAATTGCTTTGTATTGTTTTAAAATATTTGACACGGCTGCCGGTTCGTAATGTGGCATTCTGCTCGGTGTCCTAACACGCTATCGTGAATGCATTTTTTAAAAACAAATCAAGGATTGAATGAAACGGACAATGGTCAATCGCTCGACGTATGAAAATGTAATCAAATTGACACACACCGTTTTATTAGTTTGTATAACTTAGCCCTAAATTTTATATCTGTAGTAGTAACCAAATAAAGATAAGGAAAAATGTTTTTCGATGGCGATAAGTGTTCGATTAAAATACACTTTATTAAGAGACGATTAAGTTCAATGAACTTCCGTTTAGAAAACTGAAAAAGGTGGTACAGAAAAATAGTTTTAATTTTCGTCGGGTAATGGCGTTCGTTACGCCTGAAATGGCGCGAAAAATAGAAGAAGACCTAAGTTCAATTCTCTGATTTTTTATTTTTTTCTTTTTAACTAATAATTTAATTATAATTAAACTTAGTTGTTTTATTTTTAATCTTTAGTAGTATAAATAAAATTTAAACTTACCTCGAATGTGATAACACCTTTATATCCATATTTATCGAAGATCTTGTCAATGAAATATTGCTCGGCGGGCAGCGTGTTGTTGACATCTGGTAGAGGCGCGATGGCCTGCAAGTCCGGCGCCGCAAGGGCCAGCGAAGACAGCACTACGAGGGCGCTTGCCGTCAGCATGGTGCCAAATGGCGACTGGCAACTGGTGACTGGCAGTAGCGAATGAGCTAGTGTCTAGCTAAAGTAGGAGTGCGCACCACCCAATATCAGCCGAGCGTTGAGCTATCACGCCGCGTTGTTTACGCGCACCGTGTTTGTTTGTTTGTTCCCCCTCACACCATTATCACCATTAGATCACGAATCACTGCGCCCGCGCCGACGTCTTCATCGATCGAAGCTCGGCGTGCGTCTGAGACTTTCACCGGCCGCCGGCTGATGTATCCGAGGCCGGCTCGAACACCGTTATTGATAAAAAGGTGGCATTAACTCGCTGACTGGTTGTCTGGCGACTGGAAAATTAAATCTATTATGCGAAAGTGTCTATTTTTTTCCAAGGACTAATCTGAGGGCGTTACGTTCTCTATTATTCAGGTTTCCTCGTTAAAAAAGATTCTCTTTTTTTAGATTTCGATGACATTGCTCTGTGTTGTTTCAAGTAATTGTCCTTTGTGATCATTTCACAGGGTGGAGTGGTAAACAGATAAGTATACAGTTACGTTATTGATTCATGATAATAAACATATTATTACTTAACGTAATGAGTCATTGACGCTGGCATCAACATCTCCCAAATGCTAAGGTCCTGAAATACAAAGTTGCAAAGAAATCGATTTAGCAGAAAATACACATTTTCCACAGATGTGACAAATTTTATTAAGTTAAATCGCTACTCTGCCGAGAAAGGGTTGATTATAGGAATTGTCAATACTATAGATTTCCATAATCTTTGCTATGATATCTACCACATCGTGAGTGAACAGCGAGTCATCTAATTAAAGTAGTACGTCATCCTGTTTAAAGAAAAAACTATAGTATAATTGAGGGTGTAGTGTTTTGACAATAAGATAATCAATGCGTGGGATAAGCGATGCGCGTACAATGCGTTGTGCTATTCGTTTTTTGTTTCGTGCCAAAGTGTTCGCCACTTGTCAGTCCCGGCACGTACATCACACATATGCAATTATAATTCTCGCAGACATACCGATGGTACACTTTGTCACATTATTGCTTGAGCAAATTAATAACTATTTGATTTAAAGATTTTCTTATTGCGACTTAACGCACAGAATAGATTTTATTATATTAAATCTTTTTCTAGTAAACTTGATGAATGAATGAAATATGAATTTAAAATGCCTAACTGCACTTCTCGTACATCTAGGTTGGGTCTGGGCTCTAGATTTAAAATCCCAGCAGGGACCACAGGGCCACTTTAGGAAACACTGGTCTGCTCTTATGATCCTGGTTGTTGCAGTGTCTGATTTTTTACGCTACTACAGAATAATATTGATACGAGTTCAAGGTCTTTCGGTATATCATTCTACCAACATGAAGAAACTAACCAATGTTTTCTATTGAGATTTTATAAAGTAGTCAATGAAAAGAAATTCCAATGATACATAATACGTGACGTTTCTTACATACAGACAGAAAGATAAACATACAAGCTTTCTTTTTTGTTATATTTTGTTTTCAAATAAGTTATTTATAATTTGAATGGTATTGGAAAATAAAATGGACATACAAATATGCCCGCGATTACGACTTATTTAGCCATAAACAACATCAATAGGTAATCAATACAGATAAAATATAAAAATTAAATATTAGAAATTCCTATTGGATAGGTTAGGGCTATCCTAATCTTTATTTTGTAGTTTTATCTACTTTTTTCAATAAATAGCTTAAATTTACTGTTGTATACTTTGGCCTCGTGGTGTGAAGTGTAGTAAAAAATAAGTGTTCGATTGTAATTTCGTTTCAGAGGAGTGTAAAAGTGTTAATTGCAATTTAATTACTGATTACGTGCTTGACAACTGAACGAAAGATCGTGACATAATCTGTATTTGTATTAAAAATATAACATTTTGAACAAATATAAGTTACGGATAACACTCTTACAAACATAACAAATGTAATCAATTTTAATCAATTTTAAATTTGAATTTGAAACGTACTATTTTAGATTAAAAAAAAAACTTTTATAATTAGGTTTGTCAAACAATGGCCCGGATTTTCGGGTTCAATTTTGAATATGAAAATCTATGTCAACTTTTCAAAAACTTATCTAAGAGCGTATCCTTTAAAAATAAGGGGAATATTTCTTTGATATCTACATGAATAACAATAAAAGACGTAGTAGACGTACCTTTCTGATTCAAATGGACGACTGCGAAATACAACAACAAAGTTAAAATATCGTTTAGCATTCTTAAAATGCTTTTAAAAATACGAAATAGGTTAAAGTAACTACAATAGACGGCTTTTTGATCTTTATCTAACGACCTTTGCATTAAATGCAACAAGGACACAAAACATTATAAATAAATAAAAAGCAAAACTACAATGAAATAACAAAATAATTTTTTTTAATAACATGCCATTAGTAAACTCAAAAAACGAAGAGTGTGAGAGAGAGAAAGAGAGGGAAGACAATGTTGCCAACGTGAGTGGTAGATGGCATGCTTGATCTCATCATCTCTTTGACCTTTTTCCTATCAAAGGTCAGCACAGAGTGTATACCTTTTAGCGCGTAATTAAAAAAAAACAATTATTAGCCTATCTGTTCCTTTAGACTATGTTCTACATCTATGACAAATTTCAGCGAGATCGTGGTTCTGGAAATACCTACTAAAACCAGCCATCTAAACATTCGCATTAATAATGTTACTAAAATTAGCCGTCATATCTGAATTAACTTCCATTTTTATATTATAACCGTACATCATAATTATATTATATTATTATATTTATAAATTACACTACACGTATTTAAAAAAATCTGTTAGGTTATTATCGATAAGATTACAGACTACAGTTTTATTTGCTCTCGAGGAATAAGTGGATATGACCTTATATAAATCAAACTCGATAAATATTTACAAAAAAATACAACTCTTTAAGGACATTACTTATAATCTTTGGTTACGGATTTTTCCATTTGCGACAAAGTATTTATTAATAATAATTTAATAATAGGCAATTTATTTATTCATTTTCGTCAAACTATTGAAACCAATTCATATTCGGTTACATTCATATTGTTTCTTCACAAAAGATATTATTTTATATAATAATAAAATACGTTGCTATTTAACCTTTATGATACTTACATAACTTCCCATGTCTATGTCGTATTTTGTAATCATTTTTAAACATAACATTTTCTCCCACAATATTTTTTTTATTCTCATCGACGGTATGCAATCGGATAATTCTTCAATTAAGTATAACAAATAAGAAATATTGAGCTGTCACTTTTATACTTTACGACCCGTCCGATATACAATCTAACCGTGACTTTCTGAGACCAAATTCCCCGTTTAAAACTAATTGTTATCTCTGTTTTGTCAGAGATAATGAAAGGGAAAACGATATGTTTTATGCACAGATTTTGGTCTCAGAATCTTAGGGAACATACCCATACTACATAACCTATATTTTTTAGTTTTTTCGACCCCTCCCTCCCCTCGGTGACCACCCGTAGTACATACCAAGACCCTTAGTTTTTACGTAGTAATTCATAATTATGATTTTTAATGATTTCACAGGCAAATATAAAAAAAATACGACTAAAAAGGCTATCTGTATGCAAATAAACCGTTATATTAGCTATAAATGAGGTTGAATTTCCACTGTTAGAAACACTTGAATACATATTTTCATCTCTCTCACTCTGAGAAAATTGAGACAACAGTTTGTTTTGATACAAACTTCGGTAGTGGAATTTTACGGTATACTATGGCTCTCTAAAATTATATCCGGTGTACTGTGATAGGCTTATCTAGTACGTTTCAGAACTAGTAAAAAAAATAAGTTAGAATGGATCAAGTGCGGCAAACGTTCACTATCTGCAATCAGTATCTTGTATCAAATTCTTTTTTTTTTATTAATCATAAGGTAGCAAACGAGCGAACGGCCTCATGAAATCGCTGAAATAGCGAAGTGACCGTTGCCCATAGACATACGCATGCTATATTATTTTACTTTAATTTATAGCATTTTAAAATGGCATAGCGTTATAAATCTGTATACATTTAAATTATTTCCATTTATTTTTATCTTACAAACGGATTATGTAATGGATAATATTGGATTGGAAAGTTTCCACTAACTATCGAGCGGTTTCAATAAGTAACTTTCCCTTAATTTTCTTGTATGGTGATGAACGAGCTAGGGGATACGTAGATTCGACAAAATAGCGAAGCGACCGCTGCTCATATACATCCGCAGTTGCATATGCGTCTCCGGTGTTTAATCGGTGAAGGCACGCGCAGAAAGAAAATATCTGCCATTCCTAAGCTTGAATATTTGCTTGAGGTCTAATTTTAGTCCTTTTTACTCCCTCTCTCGCCTCTGCTGTCGATTTTAGGTAGGTAACGCATCTGCAACTGCGCATGTCTATGGGCAGCAGTCGTATCACTATTTCGGTGAATTCACGTGGCATCTCGTTGTACCACCGTTTGGTAAAAAAAAATAACATCAAATAATTTATTATTGTAAGTAATATCCATCGATTTGATTTTTAATTAATGAATCTTCAATTGTTTTACTTTGTTATGATATGGTATCAATACAATATTGTTTTTTACATAAAACATTATCAACAGTAAATCTGTAATCAATTTTATAATCTTTTTTATAGATATTAAGGTATAAATCCATGGCCATGACTTAGATAAATTCGTGCAATGTCAATGTTTTGTTTTAAAAAAAAATATTGTTTAAATTATTTTGTTACAAGGTTCCGTCTTATTATATAAACTTGATTTTGATTTTAATGTAATTTTATTTTGCTTTATTTACGCGCTAATGGTGTAGTGATTAGAAAAAAAGAATCTAAATGAGAATGAGTCGTACGGAACATCTCGTACTTACCTACGATGAACGAAATCTTGTACTCAAAACTGACCTAATCAAATTGAACAGATTGAGCCAGTGTGTTTCCGACCTTAATTACAAGTTACCTTCAAAGAGAATTAATTAAAATAGACTTTGATTGGATAAGTCACATAATCCGCCGCTGTGTCTGCGACTTTTTTAAAAGACAGAAGGGTTTGAGTAATTTTCTATTTGCCTTTTCTTTGATGATTCGGGGTAGTTTTCCCTTGGAGAAGGCATACAAAATAAAAAAAGAAGTTACGTAAAATCCGTAACGATATGATATAAATAATATTTCACTAACAAGTTTTTATTACAATCAGGCTAATAAGTAATAAGTTGTATACGCTTGGTGGTGATCCGTCATATTATGTGTTGAAACATACAAAAACAATTTATTATCTGATCTATGATATAAAATAAAATATTAAAAAACTAATAATTTACTAAAATATGTTATTAAAAAGGGAGGAAAAAGGGACTCCCCCTTTAGGCAAGGTCCCGAAGTTACTGGCAGCGTTCCCCATTTGGACAGCTAAACTAATTCTTTGACCGAGGTAGCTGCCAGCTCTTCGGTCCCCTGTGATGTAGATTAATTTTTTGGAAATGTCCTTAAAAATCTTAATCTTAGTCTTAATCTGATCTTAAATCAGAGAGTTTGCAAGAGACGACTATATATTTCTGTACATATCTTT